AAGCATTTCCTAATGAATTTTTCTTTTCATAACACGGTAACAATTTATGTAATGTATTAAATGGTTTAGCAATATCAAAACAGACAGTAAAACTGTTATTTTGTAATTCACTTGCATAGAATTAAATTACTTTAGACTTGATCTGCACTTCAACTTCTCTCTCTCTTCCACCCTCCCCCCCCACCCCCAGATAAAAAAAAAAAAACACATTGACATTGACTTCTACAAATTTAAAGAACCAATTAATTTCACCATCTCAAAGATGTCAAGCTATAAGTATGTAGTTTCCTGGATGAGATTTTAATCCTTTTTAAACATGGGCAACTTTTTAAATATAAGTACATCTGCTTTATATCAGTCTTTTGGTGTCATGCCAGAGATTAAACACACCAATTGGATTATTATTAGACATGCAATGTCCTTTTATTTTTGCTGTATGGAATTTAAATTAGTGTGGTTAACACATTTGGCTCCGACTACCCAAACTATTTATTTTACCAATGTAATTACCCAGTGTTCCTTTAAAATAGTTACATGAAAAATATCTAAGACCTAATATGGAAATTAACTCCTTTAAAAAAAAGTATTTTATTTGCTTCCAATTTGCACAATTTCAAATAATAGAAAATAAGCAAGTGCAGATCATCCAACATGTTTCATGCAGATAAATGCACATGATCATAGGTCTTGAATATATGTAAGCATGGCATGTCCATCAAGTTCAGCCTCTCTCATATCCATTTTTGCCATTGATTCTAAAAAAGGGAAAAAAACAGTTTGAATTACTGTCCCGTTTTGCAACAAACTAAGAAAAAATTCCTTCTTCACCCCAGTATAGTAGTCAGATCTCTCCATGGATCAAGAAGCTTTTAATCATCTGTACAGACTCTGATAAAACCACCTCTTCAGGCAGAGAATTCCACATCCTTATCGTTCTTAATGTAACAACTATCCAACTAACAACTGTATCCTCTGCTTTAGACTAAATCCACTTTTTTCCAGTGTTAACAGTTGACCTTGTGTCATATGTATAATCTTGTTTAGGACTTGATTTCAAGACAATAATTTGTATCAGTCCCAAATATATTTGTATCATCCTCTGAGGGGCAATTTTTCGCAACTAAAGAGAAAAATTTGTTAGCCGTTCTTTGTAACTAAAATCTTCCAAGAATTTCATTAATTTTGTAGCCTGCCCATGCACTTTTTCTAGTGCCATAATCTCCTTTTTTAGAACAATGCCAAAAAGCCAACTTTGTTTGCAGGAAAAAAAATTATATATATAAATATACAAACACGATGAAAGAGATTCTAACACTGAGTCCGTAATGGTTGTGGGCTAATTAGGGCACAACCCAACATAGAAATCAATAAGAAGATTAGTACAGACTAGTGAAAGACAAGCCCAATGCCAATTCTATTACCCTTATTAAAGTACTAGTCCAACAATGGAATGAGAAAACCTTAAACATGTATAATTCACAATTTTATTAAATTCCTATAAGGATGATGTAAAAAAACAGTGCTAGAAAAATGTGATGAAGTGAAAAAATAGAAAATAAATAAAATTGGACAAGCAGATGGATCCTGTATAGATAGTCAGAATGATCCCCCAGCTTGGAGATAGACTAGAAAGTAGGTGAACGTAACCTGATACTGTCTTGCAAAATTGCATACCAATTGAAAGCACCCAGCTAATTCTTATAAGCTGCTGTTGGCTAGGAAAGTCTGATATAGTGTCACGAAGCAGGGGGTCTGTATCGACGCGGTTACACCTGATAAGTGCGGCCGTGACGATTCTTCAGATAAAAGTAAGTCCCTAATTGGCAAAAAGGGAAAACTTAAAGGACCACTATAGTGCCAGGAAAACAAACTTGTTTTCCTGACCCTATGTAGTCCTTAGGTCACCCCCCCCCCCCACACCCGCTAGGCTGAAGGGGTTAAAACCCCTTCAGTCACTTACCTTTCTCCAGCGCCGGGCTCCCTCGGTGCTGGGGAACTCTCCTCCTCCTGTCAACGTCAGCGACGAACGCAGCGCGCGCATTCAATCCACCCATAGGAAAGCATTACTTAATGCTTTCCTATGGACGTCAGCATCTTCTCACTGTGATTTTCACTGTGAGAATCACAGAACTGGCCTCTAGTAGCTGTCAGTGAGACAGCCACTAGAGGCTGAACTGAAACTGCTATGTTTTCAGCTGCAGGGTTAAAACTAGAGGGACCTGGCACCCAGACCACTTCATTGAGCTGAAATGGTCTGGGTGCCTATAGTGGTCCTTTAACTTACCTGGATCGCGGCGGAGTGCCGCCCTATCCTCCAAGAAGACGGGTCCTGGCTGGTGCGGCGTTCTAAGGGCCACTGGGGTCCCGTTCTTACTGTTAAAGGGTGCACTGCCCACATTAAAGATGGCGCTGGTGTGCATGTGACATCACGTTATCAACACATGCGCACGTTTTGGGGTCAAAGGCCATGTACTAACAAATCAAAGCACTGAGAGGCATATTTAAACCCTGTAATGCCTTTTCTCAGTGCCCTGTCATGGTTTCCACTTGTTGGTTGTAAGAGAGCGTGTTCTTGGTATAGTTTTCTGGTTATTGACTTTGGCTGTTTTTGACTTTCATTATTTCTGGTATCCTGACCCTTGGCTAGTTATTTGTATTTGTCTCATTCTGTATCCCCGACCTTGGCTTGTTCTTTGACCATTCTCTTAGTTAATATAGTTTTGTGTGTTGGGTCACACAGTAATCGTGACATTACGACAGGGACATAGACCCTGCAGAATTCTGTCAACACATGTTGGTTTGCGAGAGGAGACTGGAGGAAAATGATCACTGCATGGATCAATTTGCCCAGGGCTTCCAAACGCTTCTAGCCCGTATGGTCGTCTTCAGCCCGATGATCCACTGTCAGTTCCTACCCCTCCTGTTGTGAGTATTCCTACTGTGTATAAGGCTCCTTCGATATCCTTATTACCTCCTCCTCATTTTGGAGGCAATGCTCAGGAGTGTCGTGGATTTCTTAATCAAATAGAATATCACTTTGAGGCATCTCCTGGATCATTCCCTTCTGATAGATCCAAGATAGGTTATCTAATGAACCAATTGACAGGTAAGGCCCTAACATGGGCCAATCCTCTATAGAAGAGCAATAAATCTATAGCTTATGACTATAAAGAACTCCTTGCTGAGTTTAAATTGACATTTGAACCATTGGGTAAAGAGAAAACCGCTGCCAAAGTATTAATGTGTATAAAACAAGGCAATAGGCCTGTTGCAGAGTACGCCATTGAATTTCGTACCCTTGCTTCAGAGGTCGACTGGACTAATAGCGGTTTAATCACTGCCTTTTCCGAAGGTCTGTCTGATGCAGTACTTGATGAGACTGCTGCTAAAGAATTACCAGAAAAATTTAATGAGTACATCACTTACATGATGCATATTGATAACCATCTAAGAGACAGAGACAGAACCATATATAGAACTAGACGTTCCAACTTGTCTATTGCCCCCCGGTTTCTCCACTCCTATTTTACCTGCTCCATCTCCCCCCTCCTGAACCTGAACCCATGAAATTAGGGGTGATGAGATTATCTGAGTCTGAAAAACTATATAGGAGAAACGAATATATTGTGGAAAAATGGTCATTTGAGAATAGCTTGTCCTATTCGTCCGGAAAACTTGCGCACCGGGGCCCGGGGCCCGGCCTTAGGTGTGATTTATATGTCCCCTGTTATGCCTTATAATAGCTGTCTGTTTTTTCCCAAAGCAATAATGTAAATTTGGTTGATTGGTAGTGCCGCTCAAAGAAAGAACCACACCTTTGGCCGTTGAGACCATAGATGGTAGACCACTGTCCCAACCTTTGATCACATAGGAAACCTTACGTCTTAACTTAATGGTAATGACTTTACACAAGGAACTTATCACCTTCCAACAGTTTTGCGTGTTGGGTCACACAGTTATCGTGACATATAGTATATTTAAGGCTGGTCCTGTAGTTGTACAGGGCATCCAATCCTCCCCCACTTTACCGTGGTTGGCCTGGTGAGTTACACTTACCTGGGTTTCCCTGTACAGTTGCTTAGCGGAGGTCCTGCTTCCATTCGCCAAACGGTGAGTTGGCCTTACGAGTGCCTCCCTGCACGAGTCCAGTGGCTTGGGTCTCTTCCATCACGCCGGATTCCCCTGTTCGTCTCCGCTCCCCGCGCTGCACTGCATTGCCGATAGTACCTGGGCTCCTGCCGTTGCCTACCTGTGGGGGGGGGTCTGCCTGGCGGTGCGCCACGCTGTTCCCTGGCAGTGGGGGACCCTCTCGCTCTCTGGCTTCCAGTCTCTCTGTGGGTCTCTCCCTACCCGCTGGTTGTCAGTTCCTCACCCTCTGCCGACGTGCCCCTCCCCCTCCTCTGGTAGGGCTATTGGTGGTCTGTTCAGGCTGCTGATTAGATGCAGAGCTTGGCATCCATAATGTGTATCATGGTACAGACTCCCCACCTCTCACTACCCAGTTAATCACTGGATCCTCATTGTCATCTTCTGAATTATGTCACTTGTCATAGTCACCAGTTATCCGCACATAGGTCTGCACACTGGTATCCATAGGCACTTTCTTGATTTCCACACAAGCACTTATTGTATGCCACAAGCCCTGATGGATACATCATTGCCACAAATAAACAGAGTTGTTGAATGTTGTCACGGGTGGCCTGATCACATCCATTCTTTCTTCCACTGATCCCCAGTTTGTGAACTGTACTAATCTCTGCTGAACTGTCCAAGGTTCTCTCTCCTCCTCCTCTAGTTCTCCCTGCATCCCTTCCCCCTTCTCTCACACTATCCCTTCCTCCCCCCTTTTTCTTTCCCCCTCTCTCTTACTTTGCAGGGCTCCTTGTGATCAATGCTTTCTTCCTGCAGCACCTCCGCCTCCTCATCATATACATAATCTATATTGTTCTGTTGCCCCTGTCCCAGAAGTAGCATCTTGGCTATGAACAGCCATGGGTGCAGAGTTGAGCAGCCTAACCTGGGCATACCGGCTGCACAGCTATCTCTCACTGGGCTCTGGGCTGCCTGTGCCTGTGCACTCTCTCACTCCTTTTGGGTTGGGTTGTTTTGTGGAGGTGGGATATCTCTGTGTCCCTGGGTAGGAGCTGGGCTGATGGGAAGCATGGGGAGAGGACTGGGACCTCTTACCCCATCCAGTCGGTTGTCGTGGAGGTGGTGGGGCGGGTTGCTGAGTTGTCGGGTTTTTTTTGTTTGTTTTTTTGACGCGTGGGAGTGTGGGGGGGACTCTCCTCGTCTTTCTCTGCTTAATGGCAGCTGTTACTGACATCACAAGAAGGGGCGGCTTCATTTTTCCTTTAAATGGAGGCAAGATTTCAGTCTGCTCTTAGCGCTTGACAAAAGCGCATACCAGCGCCGAAACACGCGTCGAGCAGATGCTCCACTGGTCATTTTTAATACTTGGACAGCTTTTGCATGCCTTAGCAACTTGCTATAACTATAAATCCCAACGATCTCTCTGGGCAAATAGGTAGTTTCTACTTTTAGGCAGTAGTAGATGAGTTAGTATCGGCTCTATTTTAGGCAGATGATAGGCTGCTTTGAAGCAGCAGTGTTTAGTTCATTTCACACTGGCTATATCTAGTTTATGAGGAGTTACCCTGAAGAAGTTATTTACAGGGTTTTTTTTTTTTTTTTTTTAAAGCTATCTTTTCTATACTATTGGCTAATCTCTGAATCTTCAGGATGTATCCTATATGGGACAACTTGTTCCTTCACTTATGAGTGGACAAATTTAGGTCTGCATACTTGTCTGTCATATATATCTATATATCTATATATTATTATTATATTGGCTATGAGCACTTGCCTATGAGCATTGCTAAACTTTATTATTCCATTGCTGGTTTCCAAGCCTGGGATTTACTGCTTTGGATTACCCTGTATATTCCAATTTCCCTTTCTTCCTATGGTTTCTTAACGATTAGCTTATTTAGCTGATTTATAAGATAGAGTCACTGGTTAACACCCTACAGGCCTTCTTAACTCTACAATTTCTGCTTATAATCCATTACACTGCCTTGGGATCAGTCTGCTACTTTTTATCTACATGTATTGTTATATATTGGATACTATATCAGATTTTCCTAGCCCACAGCAACTTATAAAACTTAGCTGGGTGCTTTCAATTGGTATGAAATTTTGCAAGACAGTATCAGGTTACATTCACCTGCTTTCTAGTCTATCTCCAAACTGGGAGATGATTCTGACTGACTATCTATATAGGATCCATCTGCTTGTCCAATTTTATTCATTTTCTATTTCTTCACGTCATCACATTTTTCTAGCACTGGTTTTTTACATCATCCTTATAGGGATTTAATAAAGTTATGAATTATACATTTGTAAGGTTCTCATTCCAATGTTGGACTAGTACTTTAATAAGGGTAATAGGATTGTTATTGGGCTTGTCTTTCACTAGTCTGTACTAATATTCCTGATTTCCATGTTGGGTTATGCCCTAATTAGCCCACAACCATTACGGACTCAGTGTTAGAATCTCTTTCATCGTGTTTGTATATTTATATATAATTTTTTTTTTCTGCAAACGAAGTTGGCTTTTTGGCATTGTTCTAAAAAAGGAGATTATGGCACTAGAAAAAGTGCATGGGCAGGCTACAAAATTAATGAAATTATTGGAAGATTTTAGTTACGAAGAACGGCTAACAAATTTTTCTCTTTAGTTGCGAAAAATTGCCCCTCAGAGGATGATACAAATATATTTGGGACTGATACAAATTATTGTCTTGAAATCAAGTCCTAAACAAGATTATACATATGACACAAGGTCAACCATTAACACTGGAAAAAAGTGGATTTAGTCTAAAGCAAAGGATACAGTTGTTAGTTGGATAGTTGTTACATTAAGAACGATAAGGATGTGGAATTCTCTTCCTGAAGAGGTGGTTTTATCAGAGTCTGTACAGATGATTAAAAGCTTCTTGATCCATGGAGAGATCTGACTACTATACTGGGGTGAAGAAGGAATTTTTTTCTTAGTTTGTTGCAAAACGGGACAGTAATTCAAACAGGTTTTTTTCCCTTTTTTAGAATCAATGGCAAAAATGGATATGAGAGAGGCTGAACTTGATGGACATGCCCTGCTTGTCTTTCACTAGCCTGTACTAATCTACTAATCTTATTGAGATAGAGATATAATGCATTGCTAAACAAATATACACACCACTCAAGCCTTGCTTTTCCCACAGAAATCCCACATTTTTGCCTCATAATTCCACTTTATACTTATATGTATGAAGTGGAATTATGAGGCAAAAATGTGGTTCTTTGTTGAGCTAATTTGCATATACCCACCCAGAATCCCTTGCAGTAGTGAGAGCACTGTTAACGTGAGATTTCCTGTAGGAAAATAAAGTCTTACGGTTTGACTGGTTTGTGTATTTGTGTTTAGCAATGTATTAACTATCCACTTACTTCAGGTGGAAGGGGTTTTCTTTTGGTACATAGGTGTATACAGCGGCGTACATACCGCTGTCGCAGCTGCGACCAGGCCCGTCACTACAGGGGGCCTGGCCGCCTTGGTGACCCCTGCGTCCAACCACCGGGGCCGCTGTCCAAGGGGTCTATCGGGTGGCCCATCTGATAGAGATGGATTGTCACGGGGCCCGGTCAGCGTGTGAGTGACTGTGTGTGGGACTGTGACGGTCTTCGCCCTGCAGTGAGCCGGCAGCCAGGATATGATGTCATTGCGGCCTCGGCGTCATAACAGGGCGTGCGATGGACCTGTGCAGGAAGAGCACAGAGATCCCAGCAGCAACCACTGACCACCAGGGACTGAGGATCCACTCCAGCACTTCTAGAGCAAGGTAGGGAGGCTGGGTGGACCTCTTAATTATTAAATGTGTGTATGTATGTAATTGTATGTGTGTGGTGATTGGGTTTGTGTATATCTGTGATTATGTGTGTGATTGTGTGTATCTCTGTGTATGTGTTTAGTAGATAGCTTCCTTATTTCCTGTCCTTAAATTTTGCAATCCCACATAAGGATAACAAATAAGGGATTTATCTACTAAACAACTGGAAATAAGAAAAAGGCGTTTTTTTAATCCTTTAGCTGTTTAGTAGATCATTCCCTGAATTGGTGCCCGTACGTGAGATTTCCATATTTAAAGATACCAAATGATGGTGCTGTTTAGCAGATAGCACTGTATTTGTTGTCCTTAAATATGGCAATCCCACAAAGGATAGCAAATAGATGAGTTATCTGCTAAACAAAGATTGAAATTAAGAGGTGTCAGCCAGCCCACAACAAGAACTCTGGGTGGCTAATGTGAATTATATACAAATGTGTAGTCAGATGCCAGCATGCAGAACACAGCATGCTGGCATCAGACAGCCAATGGCAGCATATTACCCCATCCCTTAGTGAGAAGTTTTACAGCTCCCTCTCCCCCTCCTGTTTTGACTGTGGTATCTTATGTGCCCCCCCATATATATTGTTCCTAGAGTCGCCATGATGTCTGCATGTGTGTATCTGTGTATATGTATCTGCATGTGTGTATGTCCGTGTATGTGTGTATGTGCAGACATCTAAAAATCTCGCCAACACTACACACAAATACACATATGCATTTCAACGTCAACACTACATACAAACCCTACCATTATATATAACCATACCACTGCATTCAAATACCACACAACACACAAATGCATGCTTGCATACAAACGCCAACACTACATACAAATACACCGCTACATTCACTCACATATACTCCATACAAAAACATGCATACATTCAAACACACAAACACTGCTTAGTGCTAAATACATAAAAATTGGGTTGTTTTTATATTTAAAGTCGAGGGGGGGGGCAAAAATAGGACCCGCCCCGGCTGCCAAATGCTCTAGGTATGCCCCTGCTTGGATGAGTTAACCAGGAAATAGGGGAAACAGATGTTCTGGGTGCAGGAGCACCACCTTAAATGAGCTTAAGATATTATAGGGATGGGAGTATTCTTTTATCTCCAAATGTAATGCTTTGCTGTTTTTAACAGTCATTTATGATAAAAGTGTGAATTTATAAGTTTACCTATATTTCACACAAAAATAAAATACATGAATTACAGATTTGCAATTTTAATTGTTTGGCAATAATTTGGTTCCTACTTTAACCCCTTAAGGACACATGACATGTGTGACATGTCATGATTCCCTTTTATTCCTGAAGTTTGGTCCTTAAAGGGTTAAAGGTCTTGCTTTTATAAACAGACAATGTACATGCCATCATTGCTCTGCTGTTAAATCTTTTATAAATGTGATATGGAAACCTAGAATAAGCATAACCTCATAAAGCACAGATGCTAGTGAATGTTGTTAAAGCAAGTGCAGTTTCTGGTGAAAGGTCCGCATCATGGAGAGAGAGAGACACACACACACACACACTTTGAAAAACGTGTAAGTGAAGATAAACGGGTCAACATATCTGATAGTAATCAAAATTTATTTTTTTTTAAACAAAAAACAAAACAAATTTAAATAAACATTGAATATTCTAGACATTCACCCATTTGCATCTACTTTAAGACCATTTTAAATTAACACAGAATTTGGAATTCAAATATTCTGCTTGCAATGTTTCTGAACGCTGAAAACAAAGTCGTCAAAAAACAAAACACAAAACGATTCAGCACTGTGCTTTAGGAAAGTTTAACTTTCCTTCAATGAGCAGATCTATGAGAAGTTCAAATCATTAGAAATATAGTAATATCTAGAAAACATAACGGAAGTCTGTTCAACCTTCATTTTGTAGATACACTGCTTACAAATTGGCGATCGCCCAGCCAGACGTTTATACTGGAGATCCTCCTTGCAGTGTAACGGATGGCATCAACCAAACTTCAACACACACACATCGGAAAAACAAAACAAAAACTATACACAGAAACGTTAACAAAATTGAAGGGCGCTTCATGGTGCGCACTCGTGGGTCACCACTAGACAGGCTTGTAATGTGCTATTTCCTCAAGGACAATCTTCCCTGATTCATTAAAAGAAAGTGAACATGAAACAAAAGCCTTACCCCACTGATTCTGAATATAAATGCCCAAACATAAAATATGATGTCCTAAGGCAAAAAAAGCATTAAAGCTGGCTAAAACAGATTTGGCCATAGATCTTTCTTGATTTGGTGTGTGATTATCAACATTTGGGCAATTCAATATATTGGCTCAGTAAAGGTAATTAACTGCCCAGTTATTTGAATTGGAGATCATTATTGCTATTAAAAAAGGTAGATTAAGATCTCCGACATTAAATACTTGCCACTTTGTAATAAGTAGCTATGACACCAGCGATTGCAATAATGCTTGAAAAGGGATGGGGCACAACATAACTCATGTATCTATATTTATTGAAGGCTTATTTGCATTCTATTCACTTCTTCAATGTGCATGTACATAACCATCAGTAGTCCAGTTCACCACAGTTTCAAGAAAAACTAGACCAGGTTTAAACTAAAGCCAATGATTACAAAACCGTTGCAGGAACGAATATACAGCATGCATATACAGTTTGGTAAGTTGTTTTTTTTTTAGTCATTATACAAGTAAACAAATAAAAAATATCCAAATGTAATAACAAAATTCAACTATGTTAAAGCATACAACCCAATAGTAGACTTGTTTGACAGCTAATAAATTAAAGACAGTGTAGCGTTCTTTAAATTCATATGTACATTCATACTTTATATATTTAAATACATATTAAATATATATATATTTATATATTTACAATATTTACTATGATTTCCATTTTGAGTAGTATACATGCATTAAAAAATATACTAAGTGTGTCTCAAAATTCCTTTTTTTATTAACAATTTGTATGTGGCGTACGAAAATAGTTTGTGTGTGAAATGGTTTGTCTACTGTATTCTTGCATTTGTAAAAAGAAGGGGAAAAAATAAAAATAAAAAATAAGCATACTGAATCAAAAATTACCTCACCAGGAGGAAACTTAGTGCTAAGGGATAAAGCCATTTATAGCATAACAAGCAATGGTCTTAAAATGGACCATGAATCAAAGATCTTTTACAGCAGAAGTGAGTCAACCTCTGCATATCTGTAGCCTTGAATAGGTGGGCTTTAGATGATGGATGTTGCATTTCTACAATAGCTGTGGAGTCACAGGTTGCCTATATATGTGGGCATGATTGGCTGTAGGTAACCATTAAACACAGTCTACTTTTGGCTCATTGCAGTAACAGCTAGGAAGAAAATCCCATTGTTCTAAACAATGCAGGTCAATATTAAACACTTTGCGTGTTTGTACAGAATTTATCCAGTTCACAAACAAGTTGTTATCTATTGACAATTAGATTTACTCCGCAGAGGTAGCCAAACGGCACATTAGAAATCTAGTAAAGGGCTGTTATTAAATGTTTTGTTTGCAGCATGTACACAATCAAATATATCTATATAAAAGGAGCCATCCACTAACGTCTGCTACAGCTAATTTAGAAAATGTAATCTATACGTTGTGCCAGCAAAAACACCAGCAAATATCCAGATTAAACTTTACACTTCACAGAAATGTGGATGTCAGATTTTGGATGCACATGCACCCATTGAATTCTAGAGCTCCGCATTACTCCATTTTTTTTCTTGCTTTGACCTTCACTGCGCGGTTATACTGTTACTACATATTGAATCAGTGCAGGCAGATTTTCTGCCTCTACCTCTTACTACATAGTGAATTGTACAGTTCAGAATGGCTACAAGACATGGAATGAGGCTGTATAATAATGCATGCAGCCATATGTTTACTTTATTGTTTAGAATTTACTTCTATGCAGTTGGCATACGGTAGATATTAAAATATTTGCTGGCAAGTTGGCATGACGTGCCCTTTAAGCTGTTCAGTGAGTAGAATAGTGGACTCCAATGTCAAAGACTAACAGTGCAGACTGTGTTATAAGTGTAATTTAAGTAAATAGAAATAAAAAAAATATGCAATAATCAATATGCAATAATCATTAAAAATGCACTTTTTTTTTTTTTTAAATATAAATATCCATTCACATTGCAATACTAGAGGGATCTGGAACCATCCTTCTAGCAATCAAAGATTAAGGATATATTCCCCTACCTGAAAAGGGCATCAGCTGAGAGGAGATTACAATTAACCTTTCCCAAGATAAGCTCCTCTTATTTCCTCAAACTGTAAAGGAAGAATTATTATTTGCTTCCCATGCAGTTTATTGCAGAATATTTCTAATGATTACAGGTTTTCTCCCAGTGTACGCAAACAAAACATTTATCGCCCCCACATATGGTCCAGGTTACAAAACAGTTTGTTTTCACAGATTCAAGTGCCATGCAAAATAAATTAAACATCAGATAGCAAAACATACATGTAATAAAACTATTCAAAAGGTAGTTTTTTTCCTTTAAAAGCATTTGTATAAACAATTTATAATACTTTTTCATTTTATATTTTTTTTTTGTCTCTTTTCTTTTTTTTAATATTTATATATCTATATATACAGTCACAGGTCCACAGCTATACATCTAGGATTTCTTCTGCAGTGCCCCCACATCGTAACCTATAGCGTCCTGTCCTCCAGCTTATAGTGGGGTCCCATAAGGCAGAGAGAAATATGTAGATGGTCATGGATTCTCGTATGAACCAGGCAACTGCATAATCCAATTTTGAAAACGTAAGCGGTCCTCCCTGCAAGAAAGGCAAAAGGGTATTCTTAGCTCACTGCTAGATGGTATGCCAAACTAAAAGCAATCAATTGTTCTCTAGATCCTTCTTTGATCAATGTATAGGGATCAAATAACGTGAACACATGGCTCAGTCATACACTACCCTTTGTAAGAGCTCACATACATCATTAATCACATTTGAGCACTTAAATGCTTCTTTTTCCAGCTTATAAAATGACATGCGGAAAACATTAGGCACCAAAGTAAGTCTATTCGCGCACAGGAAGTATCTTCATCCAGCCATCAATGGTGAAATGTTTGAGTAGTCCCACTGCTACAGGAAGGTTATTTTCAAAAATGTAATCAGTCAATACTGCCTTTTCGTGTGTAATGTTTAGTGACTCAACGGCTTTTGTGTTTCAGATGTACTGAAGTAAATTAAAAGTAGACGGATGGGGATAGGGAAAATACACTATGGTTGTTATATGAATTTCAATAATTTCAGAAATAATTACTCATTGTTGTTACTGTGTTAGGTGTTCTATTAACCAGATTGGGGCAACGTGTATATCTTGTTCCTAAATGAGATCTGCAATTAAGGAACGAAACAAGACCACGACAGAATTATTCTGAGAAGGTTGCAGAAGAATAGACACAGATCAAACTTAATATATTAACCCTTAAATATAAAAGACATATCCCTCATGTTATGATAGAGATTTGCTAAACACCGTACCACTTACTTTGGAATCAAAAGGCACAAAGTTCTAGTGGGGCAATCACCATGGAAACCAATAGAATGTATGTGTCAACAGCTCCACTTTTAGCAACACCATCACATGGAAGCAACAGTAAGCATCTGAGCTACACTGCATGGTTGCTAGTAAATTCTACAATTGGATTTTGAAATTAAATCGGATGCCATTGCAAAGCAGTCACAGTTTCCAAGAACACCATTCCTATGTGACAATCTATCCATTAAAGTATACTACCTTGAACCTTCCAATGCTAACCCAGTTCTTCAAAAGGATTGGTAACGGATACAAAAGATTTAAGTATTACATAGCTTTTAACTTATGTATATAAAACTTCCATACCTGGACACCACGAAGTTGAATGTAATCAAATATGAACCAAGCCAAACAGTGACACATGAAAAACACCATGATGTCCCACCGGAAGATGTAATGTGCTGCCCAGCCAATTATTAAACTGGCAACAAAACATTCAGAGATGGGTTCGCAGACGATTGTGGCAGGAAGCATGTTAATCCGCAGTTTTGCCCACCTGAAAGACAGCATGTAAACATATGTATTAAAGAGACTGCATTAAGAAATTTGGCTGAACAAATAGGACTTCTAAGAGTGCAATATAAATAAAATATTAAACCAGTCTGAGGGATCTTATCGGAACATACGTTATATTTTTAGATTTATTTTAAAACTATTGGCAGTGTTGTAAAGCAATATGTAGAAGCTGATCAAGCATCATTAGAGTCTAAATATCTCACACTGTCAAGTGTAACCATCACTAAAAGTATTGAATAAGAGTCATCAGAATGTAAATGCCATGCCCCCATATCTCAATGAAAGCTTATTACTAATTATTCTAATAAACACCTATATGCAGGCTATATATTTTCCAGAATTTCCAAGTTGGAGAAATATAATACAGATTACTCACACTACTTTACCCCTCAACTTCTACTAAAATAGCACGTTTATAATAGCTACCCCAACAGAGCTATTAAATGGAGACTATGCACTATAACCACTACAGTGTGCTGTAGTGGTTATGGTGCCATGAGAGCACCGGCAACTCTTCAATGTATGTAGTCAAACCATTTAAGACTGTTCGACTTCTTACTTTGGATAAGACAGGTCCAACTCCGTGTCACCAATACAGCCAAGTTGAGTGCAGAGCTTTGCTTAAAAGAGCTAACAGACAGGTAAGCAGGATTTTCACACTCTCCTGGAGGCTGCAGAGTAATGGGGAATGGCTACAGCGAGCAGTAGTAAAGTGTTTGGAGTGTTCTTTTAAGGTATTTTTCTACAGATTCTATTCTGCCATTTAATTTCCTCAGTAAGCAACTGTACACACATCATTAGGGTTTAAAAATTGTTCATGTCTTGTTGATAAGTTTTAGGAGTTTTCTCAGCTCAGCTCAGCATGAGAAGCAAAATGAGAGGAATATACAGGACTACCGCTGACTAAAAGATTCAAAAGATGTAAAAAGGATGTAAGATTAACTCCATTAATAACAAATGGAAGGAGGTTTTTCCTGTTAGGAGCACAGAACACAATATTTGTTCTGAAGGAAAGTCTTCCTGTGTCTATGAAAAATAAACAATTGTGGCTCTCTGTGTGTGGATGTTTTCTGCAAGGTTAATCCTCTGAGCAAAGGGAATTCAACATCCTAAGCTTCCCAGTGTGGAGCATAACAGGAGCTGCATTTGTGAACTGTCCATCGCATTCACGTGCCTCATCAGTATCTAAACAGAGCAGCAGTGCGCTTTTATTTTCAGCTGTGTCTAATGCCTTTCAATTAGCACATTAACACTGGGGCCAATGTATTGTTTGGATTCAAAGATTTCCTCCTGGGCACTCACTGTTTCGAGTTTAGAGAGAGTATCCTATGGTGTACCTGAACGCATTAATGGAAAGTCAGAAATCAAAAAACAAAAACTAGAAAACAAACTATTTACCTGATCATCCGTGACTGAAACTGGGATATGGAATAGGAGCCTGAATTCTGCATTGCCACTTGTGTAGCCATAGAGAACTTCCAACCCCTAAAAAAGAAGAAACCAATCAGTTTGGGTCAATACTCCCTAAAAATACATTGGCCTGAAATACTAATTTTTGATTGTGAAGCTAGTATAAATCCACCCATTACAACCTATATGAAAAGAAGAACTATTATATTCATTTTAGAGCAGGTCAGAATTTTTAAATAACAGTCACTACAAACTTCCTAGGATGAAGTAGTTACTCAGTGATATAGGATGAAGAAAAAAACAAAACAAAACAAAACAAAAAAAAACACTCAAGTCCATCAAGTTCAACCTTTAAACGTATTTGTTTATGCTGTGGATCAAAAAGGGGGAGAGAGAATTAAAGCAATGGCCAATTGTGCCATATAAAGTGGCGTGTTAAAATTCCCTTGACTCCATAATGGCAATCACATTTCACTTTGGATCAACAACCTGCTTACATATATATTTATTATATCCATGAATATTGTGTTTTTCAGAAAACCAAGCGCTACAGCACTGGGTGTCAATGTGGAATTACTAGATTTTTTTGAATAGCATTCTTTTCCTAATTCGGAGAATATGCTGCATATTTGTTCTTTTTTATTCTGCCACTGTTTTACACAGAGTACAGAGTACAAATCAGATCAGAAACAAAAACCGTGGCTTGTCTTTCACTTTGTCCAAGTTATCCTTTCATTCGATTAGCATTCAACTTGCATATAATGAGTTTTAGAGTATATAAATGTAGAGAACGCAATATAAATCATATCAATTTCTTAGCCCTTATCTCAAGTGTCATTAGTGAGAAGCCACAAGTTCAGCAAATTTTTGTGGCATATAGCCATAATTCTCAGCAAGTTTCTAATTTATTTCCCCATCCCCCCACCCCAAAAAACCCACATCCAATGACTACTAATGAATGCTCAGCGCATACATAGATGTATAAAACATTTATTTTATATTTATACATTTTATTTCATGAGTACAAGATTTGTTCGCACATGACGAGCTATACTGGAGTGTTAGCTTCTAAAGAAAAACTAGTCCCATTGTGAAACCAGGACTTAAGAGGAATGAGTGGGGACAGCATGATGGTGTGTCAGTGATGATGCATTTCACACTACAGATAAGATGTCTAGCAGTAAATGGGGGTTGTCACCCTCCCGGGACATGGGAGTGACAGAGGGACCTCAGATGAAGGACTGTGGGCTAATATAGAAGAATTAGTCACAAGAGGGACATCTCAATAGTTGAAGTGCTTCCTGTCTTGTACCTCTACCACAGACACAGCAAGTTCCATATGTGATCGGTGCAAAGGCTACTTAACTTACCGATCAGCTATAGCCTTGGCCATAAAATAATCTTCAGCTATGTACTGAGCAAAGGCAATAAGCCCCCCTGCTTGATCCAGAACTTCTTTTCTCATCAAACAAGACATTCCTGTCACACACTTGAAACCCGTTACATTGGCAGAGATGTAAGACCTTGGATGTGAAGTCCCAAAATAAACCTAAGGTACAGAAAATAAAGAAATATAGATTTAACTCAGACATTTCCACATGTTCCAATCCAGCTGCCATAAACAGATATAGAACAGCAAAGCAATGCTAAACTTTTCTATACATTTTGCAAAATGGTGCATCTGGCACAATGCACTTGCCAATTTGAAGTAATTATTTACCTGTTCTAATGTAGCAGCGAAGCCCTGCCTGTCTGCCACATATGGGAGCCCATGGACCAAGCCAACTTTCTCTGTCATTTGATTGGCCATGTCCGTCAGTGTGTCAGGTTTCACTGTGAAGTAAAATCAAAATGATTAGAACGTTAACAAAGCTCAGTCAATGAGGCACGTGTTTCTAGAACATAAGGCACCTGACAGATGGTAACTAGGTCTTTAATTGTGCTAAAACAATGTAATATCTGGCCATAGAAAACACGGGTTTAGTCAAATATGGGATGTACGGTAAGTCTTCAGTAAATGGATCGAATTAACAATATGATTTGTCAGCACATTTTTATACACATTTATACAGAGGAAAAGGGATGTATTAAAACTAAAATCTTAAAACATTCTGGATACAAAGGAATTCTATGGTATTTACAATCCAGAAGGTAAAAAGAATGTATTGCATAGTACACAGAACACTAATAAATCTCAGATATCACATGATACCACCAGGAAAGATCCTCAAATACCTAGATGAGCTTCATATTAAAATAAAAGGAATATCCAATTTCTAAATGCTCTTCAAAACCCGCTTCTATCTATTGGAAATACACATACATTAATAAAAGATTTAAAACATGTATAATTGATGAGCAAAATCAATGCAATATGTTCCATTGATTGCAAAGGAAACAATGAACAAACTCTTATTTATACAGAAGGCCCTGAAACAGCTGGCGTATGCACTTTCTAATATACTTTCCTTACTACCGATGCAAAAACGAATCTGGGGCCTAACAGTTTACAGAGATCTGGGAGACATTATAAGGTCAAAATGGCACCAAAATTGTATGCACAGCGCCAAATAAAATAACATCTTACACTGGGGCCAGGACTGGACAAATAAAAAATAAAAAAAAATTTCCTCAGTAAAATGTTAAGTCATTCATGAATCTTGGGATCTTTCAACCCTGAACTTGCAGCGTGCAAGCAATTTCCATAGTCCACATGGTCAGTGCTACATGTGTGTTTCGCAACTTGTCAATAAAGCTTTCCTTTAGTTGAAGAAAGGTGAAACAGTGTGACTTCTTATGGCCGTTAACTTAAAGGAACTATAGTCACCTAAATTACTCTAGCTAAATAAAGCAGTTTTAGTGTATAGATCATTCCCTGCAATTTCACTGCTCAATTCACTGTCATTTAGGAGTTAAATCACTTTTTCTGTTTATGCAGCCCTAGCCACACTTCCCCTGGCTATGATTGACACAGCCTGCATGAAAAAAAAAAAATGGTTTCATTTTAAAACAGATGTAATTTACCTTAAATAATTGTATCTCAATCTCTAAATTGAACTTTAATCACATACAGGAGGCTCTTGCAGAGTCTAGCAAGCTATTAACATAGCAGGGGATAAGAAATTCTTAATTAAACAGAACTTGCAATAAAGAAAGGCTAAATAGGGCTCTCTTTACAGGAAGTGTTTATGGAAGGCTGTGCAAGTCACATGCAGGGAGGTGTGACTAGGGTTCATAAACAAAGGGATTTAACTCCTAAATGGCAGAGGACTCAGCAGTGAGGCTGCAGGGCCATGTTCTATACACCAAAACTGCTTCATTAAGCTAGAGTTGTTCAGGTGACTAGAGTGTCCCTTTAAGGATATTTTTAGTTTATGCCATGACCTAGTATAAACTACACACATATATTTAATTATACCAGAACCGCAAAGGAAGAGCAAACAGTAGACCAAAAGTATCAGATTTACGAGAATACTTCTAATTTAATTTTCCTTGTCAGGTAAGTGAGTAACCATTAATTTCCATGCACAAATTACAACAGTACAAGAAAAATTAAACAAGGAAGTCATACTGTGCACATACACACACACACTAGATGTTATTTATAGCTCTGTTAAGTGAATAGATGTGAAGCAGAGTTTGAATTGGTTTGCATCAAGAGCGCATGACTCTTCTGGATTAAACATGGTTCTGAACAAATGGCTGTAGTCCATTCTGAGGTTTTGATACAAATATGAAACTTTTGTTTAATTGGTGTGTCCCACAGTATTATAAGTCACAGACTAATGGAAACTTCTACCTCCATCTGTTTAGACATTATTCAATGTATACATAACACAGGTAAAAGCGGTTTGTTATGGTTTTACTTTGCACTCCGAATCTTTTAACATTTGGATCTTATTAGGCCGATAAAAAGGATTTGTTCAGAAAATATCAACAACATGCTGACCGTTTTAGCTGTGTTTTAAAGATAGTGACCTTGCTCCAAATCCCAGAAGGACACCGAAAACGCGACTGACCCAAAGTAGGTAACAGACTGTTGGAAGTAGTTTAAGAATTATGTTTATGGCTTTAAACCGCCATTCTGAGAATTATCACAAAACAACAATATAGGATGCAAACATTATACAATCCTTGAGACTTAACATGCATTTTTGATACTACCTTAAAGAGACACTATAGGCTCCAGAGCACTTCATCTCATTGAATTGGTCTGGGTGCAGTGCCTCTGTCCCCTTAAACGTGCAAAGCAATACATTGCAGTTTTAGAGTTTTTTGCAATTTCGTGGAGTGTGACTCCGTGAAACGAAGCTGGACATCCTCACACTTTGCATGAGAACATCCAGCCTGTTGAAAAGCTCCATACAAAAGCACGGCACATGCATATTTGGTTTCCCCTATTGACTGACATCGGAGGAGGAGCCCGACCCGAGGGACATCAGCATTGGAATCAGGATAAGTGTTTAAATGGTTTTTGTTTTTTAAACCCTTTGCATGGCCATGAAGGGGGTTGGGGGAATGCAGGGGTAGAGGGGCACTATAGTGTTCCTTTACATAGATTGAGAGATACCAAAAGAAGCAGAGAGTAAAGTAAAATCATGTGTTTTAACTTGGTAAAACTCGTCTTGCCCAATATGGTGTATAAAGCTCCAGATCAAGAATTCAATGAAGCACAAGCAAGGCAATCACGATATTCCCTCCACGCAAACATTGGCAGGGGTTATATTTAGTAGTTTAGCTCTTCTTGGCATTGAAGGCAATGGAGCAATCACAACGGAAACCAAAGAAACATTCCTGCTGACTACACTATTACAAGCACATTAAAAGTAAAGCACCCTTCAACTGGAAACTTTATTTGTGCATCACTCATATGAACAATATTTCAGTAATGAGGCCTTAAAGGGACACTATAAGCACCAACACAACTTTAGCTTCATTAAGCCAATTTTGTTTCTCTGCTTAGACTATCCCTTTAACTATATTTACTTTTAGAGTAATTCCAGGCCAAAATTCTAATGTATTGAAAGCAATATGCATTCTAACCAATGACACCAGATAAAGACAGATCAGCTTAATACTATAGCTCTATGAAGTGGTCTGGGTGCAATGTATATGTCCCCTTAGTCCTGCAATGTAAATCTTTTTACATAAACTGCAATGATTACACTGCAGGACTAAGACTGCCTCTAGTAGCTCTCAGACAGCCACTAGATGCACTTCCTGCTTGCCAAGTAACTTTTGGTCACTTAACTGACGCTGGACTTCCTCAAGTCCTGCACAAGGACATCCAGTACATTAGCCCCTCCCCCCCCACTGGATGACATCGCAGAAGGCAAGGCTCCGACCCAGTGCCAAGGGAGATTGGCCCTGGAATCATGTAAGCGTTAAAAGGGTTGGTTTTTTTTTTTTTTTTTTTTTAAAACCCTTGCCGTGCAGGAGGGTGCATGGGGACCGCGAGTAAACTATAGTGTAAGGAATACAGATTTGTATTCCTTTAACAAGCAGGTCAACTCCAAACAGAACTGATGAACAATTAAAAGCATTAAAATAAAACGGTCTTTATTCTTTTATGTGGTTTCTATGCCTAGAGAGGACGATACTAGGTTTATGCCTGGGATAGAGCTTTATATTACAGCACAGAAGACACGTGTGTAAGTAATGATAGGAATGTTGCTTCCTTCTCACTAGCTACACAGCTGTGGCCACATTTGTCTCATTCTTGTAGAAGAAGAAACAAAGGCTGAAAACAAATGTATGCAATCAGAAGTGAATGGTTGCCACCTGCTTTTAAAAACTATTAAATAATTAAAACGATTAGATAATTTTCTCAAATTGCTTTAAGTATCACTTTACAATAAAGTAAACTACTCTGGGGTAAAGCAAACGATCCAGCAATGGAAAATAAGCCACACTGATATGCAAGACTCAAATCATCAAATCAAGTACACTTGTTCTAGTCTTGTGATGCAAATTAAAATCTGATGTACAAAATAAAGAAGAACATCAAACACATACATTGTGCAGGCCATGCTGCTAGCAAATGTATACTTCAAAAGCCATTCAGATGCAGGCATAATAAACCCCTTTTCCATGGATATAAAGGAAGGACTGTGTGTAGAGAAAATATACCATATGAACACCTTTAAAGGACCACCATAGTGCCAGGAAAACATACTCGTTTTCCTGGCACTATAGTGCCCTGAGGGTGCCCCCACCCTCAGGGACCCCCTCCTGCCGGGCTCTGGAGAGAGGAAGGGGTTAAACACTTACCTTTCTCCAGCGCCGGGCGGGGAGCTGTACTCCTCCTCTCCTCCTTCGCGTTATCGCTGGGCGCATGCGCGTAGGAGTCATGCATATTCAAGTTTGCGCATAGGAAAGCATTTACAATGTATGGATCTGCTCTCACTGTGATTCACAGTGAGAAACGAAAGCGCCTCTAGCGGCTGTCAATGAGACAGCCACTAGAGGCTCTGGAGGCTGGATTAACCCTCCGTATAAACATAGCAGTTTCTCTGAAACTGCTATGTTTATAAAAAAAAAGGGTTAATCCTAGAGGGACCTGGCACCCAGACCACTTCATAAAGCTGAAGTGGTCTGGGTGCCTAGAGTGGTCCTTTAATTACAAATCTAAAACCATTAAAATTACTATGCATTTACACATATGCTAGATTGAAGAGCAGGAGAGTAATGTAAGGAAACGTGAAGCTTAGCTGATTAAAGGGACTCTAGACTTTAATGGCTGTGAGTTTAGTTATTTTGAGGGGATAGCAAATTCAGCAAATATATAAAATATTTACAAAAATGTGAGGGGTGTACTCACTTTTGAGAGATACTGTATGTCCACCAGTACAGCTAAAGCATTTTTTATTAAAATAAACAGGAACTAAGCTTCTTCATTACGATAGCCCCATGATAGTGAGAGAGCTGCAAAAACCAGGGGGTCTGCACCCATAGCCTTATAACATCTTCCCCAAATTATAGGGGCTTTCATGCTTGGAGGGACACTTTAACCCCAAGTAACTATAATTACACAGAGGATACTGCAGGTGTAGCATTAAGAGCTAATTAATTAAATAGAGAATGGGGGGTGGGGATTATTCTCATAGCTTAAGTCAGCAGCCATCGACTAAAAAGATATGCACACTTAAAAAACAAGTTTACACAAAATCTATTTACATTGTGACATGGAAATGCTTAAAGAAGCCACTAGTTCCATTTCTGTGATACAAAATAAAATATTTTCCGAGTGGGCCGGGGAAGAGAAAGGTATTAAAACATAAGGTCAGCGTCAATGCAGATTTTCATACAGTGCATTATAACTATTCCCTGCACTGCAACTTCTGAGAAGCTATCTATGGTGTTTCTCAGAGGAATAAGATACCCTGAGTAATGCGGGCTTGTGACAGATTTAGAACTGCTCATTACTTTGTCTGCAGAGAACAGCACATCAAACCAGCACAAGACCGTGTGGATGATAAGGAAGGATAAACAGATCTTCACCAGCCCCACTGGACCTTGAAAATCTCATTGAGCTATAAATCATTCCACAGGGAGCTGATTGAGACAATGTTAAAATAGGAAGTGTATTCAAATCAACAAGATTTTGACATCCATTCTCCATCACTGGTTCCTGTGTCTTTGTATTAAAGAGCAGTTTAAAGCATATACTCACAGACACCATTTATTACTGTACATTGGTATCTCAAAGATGCTTTTGCACAATCTGTTCCACGTGAATGTAATGAAGAAGTTCTCTAACCAAGGTACATACCTTTGATCCCACTATCGCAAATCCATATTAGCTCATATTTTGCAACGTCATAACCAGGCATTAAGTTGTTTATTTTGGGATTGATGCCAACCTTTTTACCACCTGTGGATTACAGAAAGAAAAAGCACTAAATCAGCAAATTGCTTATAAATGCACTTTACTACACGATAACTAAATAAGGACCAGAAGAGTCTTACAGTAGTAACAATTCAGGTGTACTTTGAATACTAGGAGAGATGACAAAGGGAAGTAAAATTGAGGTTTGGGTTTTAAACATAGTTTGGATTCCTGTTGCTCCCCACACCACACCACTTCACTTCCTTTCACACGCCCAACAAAGAAGGGTTAAGGCAGCTTTCTATTCCAGAGTGACTCACTTGCGGGACAATGTGCTATAGAACAAAACATATCCAGCTAGATTTTAATCTCTGAAATTATTTATCTATCCATCTATAATAAATGAAATCTATAGTAACTGCTAATGCATAAGTGACGATAAGTTTTTATGGATTGTGAAAAAAAAACACATCATGGAGTTATTGACAATACACTGTATAGGTTGTATTTTGTTCTACAGAAACACCCAGTTTCTATTCCTAGAAGAGATCAGATGCAGCTTGGGCATGAGATGCAAATAAGTGGTCTAAAAGTAATTAAAATGGTTTGACATCCTACCATGGGACAGCAGCAACTCTTGACACCATAACACTTATGGTGCTTGGGGCATTCCTTTAGAAAGTCCACCATTAACTAAGAGCCACAGTCTATTCTTACTTAAACTTTTATTAAAGGATGTAATGTGTTTTTATTGCTTTTATTTTCTTTTGTAGTTTGGTCTCTCAAAACGTGCAAGTAAAGGTACCTTGTAAGCCATTCTATACAAACATAGGAAGAGATGTAAAAACCTACATTTCCAGTCAACAGAGTAACAGTTGTTGAAGAGAAATTGCAGGGGTATAGTGGAAATGTGCAGTTCGAGCTATTAATTATTCATAGCTGGCAGGAAAGATTGGCATGATTAAAAGCACAGAGTCCTCTATAATCAGCTAGGCAGTTTTATTAAAACTCAGCTGTCTCTAAGGCATGGAGGCAGTTTATGATTTGCTTGCATGCCAAATTCTCTGTAAATGCAAAGACTGCTTTGTGATGCATCTTTAGATGAGTCTAAGGAGTTTTCCTTCATCAGCAGAACTTACAGAGCATCAGCCAGGCAATACCACAGAGAGACAATAAAAACCTGCCAATCACATTAAAACAGCTCTGCTGCCTTTATCGGATATGTAGAAATTTGTTCACAGAAGAAGGAGAAGATTCACAATCTAATGGAGATTTTTTTTTTTTATTAATGCATTTGCAAAAGACTTCCTTAACTGCTCAATTTGTGTGCAATGGAATAATAATTAAAAAGCCACCACACCCAATAAATTAGAGTAAAAGGCTAAGTCTTTCTTAAATATCCACCTCTAACAGCAGATAAGGAAATCCTGGAATACAGATATCAGATGTTGTACTCTAACAGCACTGCAGTCATTTCTTTTAATAGGGTTTCAGTGTGGTGTGTCATGGATTCCAAGCATGAATGATCAAGCAAATGAGAGAGAGATTCGGGTGCAACTGCTTCCGCTGGGAAAGTCCAGAAGCATTAATAGAATATTGCATAGGATGGTCTGTGCTGCTGCCATTGACAAATATAAGTGGAGTTTTTAATTATTACGTTTCATGATTATACAGTAACTGGCTTTCATAAATGAACACTATTGTCTCCAAGAAATATTCATCTCAATGAAGTGATCTGGGTGCCTTGTTCCTTTCGTTTGTAACATACAATGTAAAAACATAGCTGTTCTGAAGAAAATGCAATGCTTACATTGAAGGGTTTAACCCAGGGGTTCTCAACCCTGGACTGGTAGGGGGTCCTTGAGGACTGGGTTGAAAACCCCTGGTTTAACCCCTTAAGGAAACATGACATGTGTGACATGTCATGATTCCCTTTTAGTCCAGAGGTTTGGTCCTCAAGGGGTTAAAAGCCTTTAGTATTAAACTCCACTAGTTCAATCAGATGGTTCTATGCTTTCATATGGGAATTTATTTGACTGGCTGAGATCATCAATCTTGATTATCTCAGAAATGGAGGCAGGATGACAGCATGGAGACCAGCACTATGAGATAGAAAGGCAAGTGAAAGCAATGTTTTACTCTTTACAGGTGGGGGCATTTGTATTCCCAATGCTACAGTGCTTGTTTAAAAAAGGCTTTGTGCTGTTATCAAGGTATGCATATTATAAGAGCTTATTCTGCAGTGAAAGAGTGCACTGGGATCAAAACGTAATGCCTTCAGATAATCTTTAATCTTCTCTTTATATTAAATATTGGCATTGTTGAAGAGATCCTTTGCCTACCTTTCCACACCCTATTTCTGACAACCATATTTATCGGACACCATTTTGCAAGCATCCATTCATTTGCACAATTTCCAAGAGAGCACATGGCTTGAGAAAAGCAACAGATAGTTACAAAATATTTTGCATTGAGCCAGATAACAAACAATCCAATAAAAGATGCATAAATGTGTGTCAAGAAGAGGAGGGGTCAAATTTATTTCACATTAACAATAGCGGGGTCGAAAAAACCTGAAGTATTCTAAGTAAATATAATATAATTCATTTATTATGGGCTCTTACAAACTGACTATATAACTTCCAATCAAGTATAGCTAGGACTAAATGGACGACGACTAATCCAACCTTACTCTAAACAAGATGTGTGTCAACTTGCTTATAGTTCAAGACAGGCTATTCAGATCTAGGGTTGATTATCAAAAGGCCTGAATAATTATAAAATGCAATTGAGGAAGTTTGTTTTCATTTAAGTTATTGTTTAATCAGCTACGATCTCCTCGATTATACAGTCAACTCTGCTATATCACAGTGGGAGCCATTTTGTTTTCTAGATAGCTCTTTACTCTATAACGGCAAGCCCTTTTAGTCTGCATCGCTCCACACTATACAAGGCAACAAAATTACATTTAACAGCCACAGAATGCAGACATCACAGGATACTGGAGTATATAGTCACAGTAAACCAACATGTGGTTTGGCTGTATTGTCAGGGAGGTTATATTAAGATACTATTGCAAGATTTGGTAAAACATGATACATTTCAAAATAAAGCCCTATAAGCATGTAGAAAATAAAACCAATGTAACTAAACATTTCCTGATTTTGCCTACAAATTAAAACCAAATAAAAATAATTGTTGCTTACCTATAAATAACTTGGCATCCACATTTGGGTACTTGCCAAGCAGCTTTTTACATACATCCACTGCTGGATCATCAAGATCTTGCACACAAAGAAGGATTTCAAACTGGAAAACAGGTAAATAGATAAACGTTAGCATAGAACTTTTAAAGAAAGGTTTTTTTCTTCTACTCTCATTCAATAGAGGGATAGATAGGCAACAGGCAAAGGGAAAAAAAATAAAACACATGCTAGACAGCAGAAAGATATATACAGAAATATTGTAAAAATGCAAAGTTCAAAATATTTTCCAGAATAATCATTTAAATCCCTAGAAGAGTTACTAACTTACACAAACAATTATACATTCCACTGTATTTACAATCTCTTTGTAGATATGCACAGGTCTTGTTATTTGTGGCATGCAAGCTATCCTGTGTTATAGGTGTTTGAGCAGGCCTAAAAAAGGTCACAGCTTGACTTTAAATTCCTAGCTGCTTATCACTTACTTTTCAGAAAGTATGCTGCATTATGCTGCTAGTGCGGAGCCTTCCGCCTTTGCCCAGCATGAACAAGGAAGTCTGTGCAGGACAGAGTTACCAACTGCTTCTTATAAATAATAGTGGTTTGTGGTGATAGTTGCACATTTGTAGGATCACAACATTGTTGAAACAATGCGCATGCATGACCATCATAGTGAACCACTAACTCATTGTGTCTCTGGACACACAAGCGGCAGTCGAAAATACATTAAAGGGACACTATGGTCACCAAAACAACTTTAGTTTAATAAAGCCGTTTAAGAGTATAGATCATGCCCCTGCAGATTCACTACTCAATTCTATGCCATTTAAGAGCCAAAATTACTTTTGTTTCTGTTTATGCAACCCTAGCCAAACCTCTGCCGGCTGTGACGGACACAGCCTGCATGAAAATGAAATGGTTTCACTTTCAATCAGATGTAAGTTTAAATGTTTTCATCTCCTGCTCGGAATATTGAACTTGAATTACATAAAAGGAGGTTCCTGCAGGGTCTAGCAAGCTATTAACAGATCAGGAGATAAGTACTTCTAAATTAAACAGAATGTGCGGTAAAGGAAGTATAAACATTAGATGACTCTTTACAGCAAGTGTTTAGGAAAGCTGTGTAAGTCACATGCAAGGAGGTGTGACTAGGACTGTATAAACAAAGTGATTTAACTCCCAAATGTCAAAGAAGTGAGCAGTGGGACTGCAGGGACATGATCTATACAGCAAAACTGCTTCATTAAGTTAAAGGTTTTTTTTGGTGACTATAGTGTCTTTTTAACTAAATGTGTGTCTAACCCCAAGTTTAGATGTCTGGCAACTGCAAGGATAATAGAGACGCGTTTAAACCCCTCCCCTGAAAAAAGAAAACAACCAGCCTGCGATTTCTTAGAAACACTAATTTTAAATCACAAGGTCGCATGGGAAGATTGATCCACACTTTCATTTCTTTGAGATGACGTGATTTTGATGTTTAGATGTACCCTTTACATCATGATATAAATAATGGAATGGAGTCTAGGCATTTAAAGGTTTTAACAAAACAAATGTTGTTGCAGGGTGAACAGCAGAGATTGTTTAAGGTCAATACTGGTTTAATTAATGATGCCAAAACATATCAGATAAAAGCCGCGCACCAGTTACATACTAACACAACTGCTGCAGTCTAAATTTGAAGATCTGGTAGCATAGCATTTTTTAAATAATTTTTTTCACCCAAACTATTCAGCAAAGGAGGAATTATTTTCCGTTTATTACATGTTTTAACACATTTCATAGCAACGCAAATCTGTAGGTCACTTTTCACTTTGTTTATTGATTCATATATTAGTTTGTATATATGACTACATACATTAATTGCATGTTCTGTATTATCAGGTGTGCACCCCAAATAAGTTTAGCTTGCTAATTGTGCTATTATGAGTCTTAACTATCCACCCTACAACAATTGTGCTACAGCAGCCCCAGCTGTCACATGTCCAAGTTTATGGGCAGTTTCCATATACCGTACTTCTCTTTGCGAAATGATGCTGGAAGTTTCACTTTGAAAATTATCTACATAGTTCTATCTTTCTTTCCTTTTGTATAAAATTTCAAAGTTCATGAGAAATCTCACAAAAGTAATTAATGCAGATATAAAAACTAGCTGTAAATGATCTATAATAACCTTCTACAATTATAGTTAATAATCAAAGTCTAGATAACCTATTTGCTTATTGCTAAATTAACCAAGCTATCTTTTAGTCAATATGAGTCACTCTGTAATAAAAAACAAAAAACCTTCCATTACATCACACTGGTATAACGTGTAGAACAAGTTATTCAGTCATAAAAATGTCAGACCAATAAGACTCTGCGTTAAAAATAAATAAATAGAAAATCTCTTCCTATTTCCTACTTGCATTCCAAACATGGTGTATTTGATTAAATAGGATTTAACACAAGTCCTACTGACTAGTGATTTAAATCTACTTGATTAACAAACAAAACAAAAAAAAAAAAATGTAAATAAAAATAATAGACTCATTCTTGCTAGTTGCTGCAATCTTTAAAAGGAACACAAACGTGTTCCTGACCCTATAATGTTAAAACCACCATCAAGCCCCCAGGTTCCCCTTGCCTCTCTAAATATAGTAAAATCTTACTTGTATTCAAGTCTGCAGTGGCTGTCTCTGTCCCTGACCTGCCTGCTTACATTTGACATCATCAGAAGTGATTCTGTGAGCCAATCACAATGATTTCCCATAGGATTGGCTAAGACTGTCAATGAGGCAGAACCACCACAAGTTAAACACAGCTCTAGCCAATCAGCATCTCCTCATAGAGATGAATTGAATCAATGCACCTCTAAAATGAAAGTTCAGTGTTTGCATGCAGAGGAAAGAGACATGGAATGGCATTACTGCTCAGTGTGCAGCACTGTCCCATGAAGCATCAAAGCAAACTTCTGAGGAGTGACCAGTGGAGTTATCCCTAGGCTGTAATATAAACACTGCATTTTCTTTGAAAAGACAGTTTACTGCAAAAAGCCTGAAGGGAATGATTCTACTCACCAGAACAAATACCATAAGCTATAGTTGTTCTTGTGACTATAGTGTCCCTTTAACCCCTTAAGGACACATGACATGTGTGACATGTCATGATTCCCTTTTATTCCAGAAGTTTGTTCAAGGGGTTAAAGAAACCATTAAAGGTGATGTAAAACACTGCTACTTTGGAGAAACTGCAATGTTTTCATTGTCGGGTTAAACACACATCTAGTTATTGTATTCCTGACCAGTACAGCGGTGGAGTTAAAGGAACACAGAAGACCCAGTAATCTGAAAAGACTGCGGCAGCATAGAGTTAAAAATACATGCTTGCATCCCTAACACTATAGTATTTCTTTAAGATTTGCAACCAGATGAAGATTTCATATTTAGAATAACTTTGCAGATTAGTTTAACAGTGGCATCAGAATGGACTGTTATACACCATTAGAAATACATAGTTCACCCTGCAAGAATTATCCATTTCCAGTGTAACCCACCCTGAAGGATTGAGGCAGTTCTGATCAAAACAAAACCTGGAATTTAAGCTATATGTCTGTTCAACCACAATTTACCTATTTCATATTAAAAGTACCCACACTTATATATTATTATTTTGTTCAGGAGAAATAGGACTTTCATTTCACATCAAATTTATATATTAAACATAATTTCATATGAATAATGTTTTGGAAAGTTACAGGGTCACATATAGGACTAGCCCTTTTTCCATTTATGCACATTGAAATTTGCCAGATTGGTTTGCCTTTAAGACCGCATGGCAGCCCAGGAATGAAATTTACCAGCATTATGGCCTACCATTTGAAAAAGTAGAAGTCCCAGGGTATTCAAAATAGAGGATTACAAGTCTAGTTACCACTTGGTCACAAACTTTGGCAAAATTAGAGTTCAATTTTCTTTTTCACACATGAACTGCACTTTTACTGATGATAGTATGATAGGATAGTATGATACGTTTAACTGTTTTGAAACACTCATTTGTGTTTAGCGAAGTCTCCCGAGTTTTACCTGAAGACCGTGAGTGCAGCCCCAACTGTGTATGTGTATATAATATATATACATACACATACACACACACACACGATACCAGTAGAGATCACTCAGGAGTCTTTCAAGGTAAATTTCATCTGTTGCTTTATTGAGCAATTATAAATTCACACGACGTTTCAGTCTGTAAAATACTTTTTTCAATCTTTTACAGACTGGAACGTTGTGTGAATTTGTAATTGCTCAATAAAGCAACAGATGAAATTTACCTTGAAAAACTCCTGAGTGCTCTCTACTGGTATTGTATACAATTTGGTTGGAGACAGCACCGAAGCATTAAAAGACCGGGAGCATTGAGTGCTGGGATATTTATATATTTTATTATTTTATTTTTTTAACTGGCAAACACTGAATAAAAGCCAAGTTTTATTTTTTATGTTACTATAGGTCCCTTGAGTGCTGGCTTTTGCCGATAAGCACCAAGCACGTATACATTCTTTTAGTGCAAGCAACTGGACACACACACACACACACACACACATACACACTAGCCCTAGTTAAGTGAGAATTCTAGTTATATTATTGATGCTAGTTTCCATTTCAATCTATTAATAAAATATAAGCTACATGCATTTGCACGTTACAATACTAGAGCAAGCAGTATACATAATGCTCCTACTATAATAACCATCATCATATAGTAAGACCCCAACTGCAATACAGCATTATACTTGTAAATGTGTTCTAGAGTACAAATGAAAGGAAGACTGATGTGAAACAATGAAGAGGTAATGAGAATATTGTTTTGCATACAGACAGAATTCAAACCACTAACAGTTTAATAGGCCACATTTTTATAATTAAATGATTCAATGATTTAGTATTCTTCAGCAAATCCCTTGGAAATTGGAGCATCCCTAGAGCCCAGATGAAGAACCAGTTGCAGAATAGAAGATATTATGAATTCTGTCCAACTCTGGCCTTTGTAGAACCAATTATGATTACAGAGTGAGCGTGTTAAATATCTAAAACTGGTGATTTAACAGCAACAGTCCTCTTATATTGCCTGATATTAACTGGACACTAGTTACCAGAACAACCACAGCTTATTGTATTTGTTCTGGGGAGTAGAATTATCCCCTTCAGGATTTTTGCTGTAAACACTTTTTTTCCAGAGAAAATGCAGTGTTTACATTACAGTTTAGTAATAACTCCACAGATGGCTGCTAGAGGTGCTTTCCTGGGGCAGTGCTGCACAGCCATTCAGTGTCTCCTCCCTCTGCATGCAGACACTGAACTTCCCTTAGAGATGCATTGATTCAATTCATCTCTATGAGGAGATGCCGATAGGCCAGGGCTGGGTTTGACTCATGCTGGCTCTGCCCCTGATCTGCCTCCTTGACAGTCTCAGCCAATCCTATGGGGAACCATTGTGATTGGCTCAGACCACCAGTTCTGATGATGTCAGACGACAGCAGGCAGTTTCAGAGGCAGAGCCAGCATCTGCACCCTTGAATAAAAGTAAGATTTTATTATATTTAGGGAGGCAAGGGAGCAAGATGGAGGTTTTAACACAATAGGGTCAGGAATACACATTTGTGTTCCTGACCCTTTAGTGGTCCTTTGGCACAAACATTTGGGAAACTCACAAGGTGCTGTTATATACCTTTGTGTTTCAGCGAGTGAAATCGAACATGAGAAAACCTCTATTTGATCATTTTTATGTGATAAAATTGAGGTTTACTCTTTTTTCTAGTATTAAACATTTTTGGTAAAATTTCCCAGAAAGGGCACAGGTAGAATGCTTGTAGGATAACCACTACAACAAGTAATAATGACTATGGTAAAACACATGCTCCTTTAAATAACATGTTATGGATCAATTACAAACAAAGTTCCATAGATGACTGATCATGGAAGCATGATCATACTGAAGAAGTGTTACCTAGTACTTGCTCAAAGCAATGAAACATATAATGAATCTTTATAACCAGTTATTTGCTATAGGGTAGAGGTTTGCCCATAAGCAATACAATTGCAAAAGAGAATAGCAAGATAAATATGCTACTATTCGCAGATTGGGACTTGTCCTAATAAAAGCCAAGTTTATTAGAAGCAATTTTTATTATGTTTTTAGGAGTTGTGCACCAAATTGCAGCATGTGGAGTAATAAACCCAGAAGACAATAGACTGCTCCTTCAAATCAACAGCGTTGCGGAATTTGTTGGCGCTTATTAATTTATTTCTTTTAAATATGGTCCTTTATTGAGAGCAGATGATTGGTTACAATTTAGGAAACAAAGCATTTTAATCTCCCTATTTTTAGAGATTTAAAGTACTCTTTCCAAGCAGCTTAGGCTCAGTAAGGGCAAAGACACAATATGTAGGTCAATGGTAAGGTGAAAGTGAAAAGATTTCCTGCATATATATCCAAAACAGCAACTTCACCTTTTCTACCATCCACCAAGAACAACTTTATACAAAAAAAAACAAACAAAAACAAACAGTCATTTCATTTTTTTAGCTAGAATTGTACCAGCTACTTTTAAAGGGATCTAGGATAGAACTAAAAGGCAAATTATACAGCATCTCTTATAAACATCATTTGAAATGTCTGCAACAGAAAGCTCCAAGTATACAATACATGACTATCATAAGCAACAGTAACATACATTTGGTATCCTTAGCAAAATGAGCAAAACAAAGTTTCTGGAAAGACAACATATTTGATTTTAGCTCATTCCAGACCAGAAACTTTTTTCCTTTTTTTGAAAGCATTACACATGTTAGACAATGATACACCTAGATTTAAAGATACAGTAAAGCCTGTGTTTGACAAGTGACAAATGTGGATGACATGTACACAGCAAGTGTATAGATTGAAAAGATACTTACTGGACATTCCTTTTCCTCACCAAGCATGTTTTTTTTGGGTTGTTTTTTTTTTTTTTTTTTTTTTAAACAGAGATAGATGCTGCATCCTAATGTCCTCCATGTGGTTAGTCATTATTGCTATTCCAATGGCATAGAAGTAAAGACCAACTTAGAAAAGTATGTTTTAGGAGCAATGGGAATTGAAGCATTCCACTAAATAAAACATCAGTTCTTTCTAAATGCAAATGTATGCAGCTTATGTGTAGCCTTTACGATTCCTTTAAAGGACCACTATAGTGCCAGGAAAACATACTTGTTTTCCTGGCTCTATAGGGTCCTTGGGTCCCCCTCACCCTCTGGGCCCTCCTCCCGCCAAGCTCTAGGGTGAAGAAGGTGTTAATCCCTTACCTTACCTGAATGCACATGCGCGGCACAAGCACGCATTCAGCCAGGCCATTCTCAATGCTTTCCTATGGAAGCACAGAAGCGCCTCTAGCGGCTGTCAATTAGACAGCCACTACAGAGGCTGGATTAACCCATTTGTAAACTGCTATGTTTACAGCAGAAAGGGTTAATTCTAGATGGACCTGGCACCCAGACCACTTCATTAAGCGGAAGTGGTCTGGGTGCCTATAGTGGTCCTTTAATGATATACTGTGGGTCCAAGATAAGTAAAAGCCACCAGCTTAATATACGATCCAGAGACTCCATTAAGATAAAAAGATGGCAGTTCAGTGTCAAATAAAAATATTAACAGTTTCTTTTGATGAAGTTCACAACAGCTGGTAATATGCTCATAATTACAATCGCGGGGTACTTTGTTATTCATAATATTAAAGCGTTTATTACATTTAGTATTATCCACCACAACCCTTTAAAATAAAATTTGTCATTTTTATAGTCACTTTTTAAAAGGGATACTTCACTGCACAAATATATAATAAAAATAACTGAGTTATATCTAAAAACAGCATTCAAAAAACTGCAGAGCTCTTGTCTGTTGCCTTTGCAAGCCCTGCTCTTCTAACCCCACCCAGACTTTGTATGACTTTCCAATGCAGCTCAACGAGAAGTCTTTGCAAGGCAGGTGCTCTGGGCAATTGCTACCTCTTGAGTACAGTGCAAATAGGCTAACCCAAACCATGGTATTTGCCTGTTTTATTCCAATGGGGATAAAAACAAAACCTGGACAGTTGGTGGGTCTTGAGGACTGGTTTGGGAAACGCTGGGCTAACCAAACCAGTTAGTAAAATCACCTGTTTGCTTGAAAAGCCAGGGGGTGTAACCATTATAATTTTAAAAACTAATATACTAATGAAATCTGCACAATTTCTTAAATGAGAAGAAAAAAAAAAAAATAGTAAACCATCTTCACACAAAGCTTTTCAGCATATATATATTTTCAACAACCTAAAGGAAGAGTTCCTTTAAGAGAATTAAAGCAGTTTCTCCTGTTAATGGATAATCTTTGACCCAATCCAATGCATCTCAGAGAGAAACATTAGGGACTTACTGGGCATGTGCCGCAATTGTTGCGCTCAACCAAACTGTATGCTGGTCATAGAGAAGTACTGAATCTAATACTTCTCCATGAGGAGCATTCAAAGCATTCGACAATGCTGAACTATGATGGGACTCTCTTCTAGCGGTTGTCGAACATTCTAATCTAATGCAAACTTTGCGGTTACTCACAAGCAGCACTATTTTGATTTTGCATAAAAATCAATACATTAAGATATAGTAGTTTTGTGGCTTAGTGTGTCCCTTTAAGATCACAAACTCACCCTACAATAAGTCTTAACAGAATATAAAATTCCTAGGCCTAAATAGAACATACCATTGGTGCAACGTCGTTAGTCTCAGTGTATGAGAGGTGATACAAAGCAATGGGATTTTACTACAATATCACTTAAACATCTTAACTCATGCAGCAGGATCACTGATCATCCTTCAATAGCATGAAATTACAACTTCATAAGCCACCTTTAAAGACACCTGACAAACCGGTTATCTCAGAAATGTTCAAGATAAAAGAATGCTATTGTTCAATTCAAGTCAAGCAGAACTGTGCATTTCAGCAATTCTGCAGGTCAAACATAAAATGCATGTTTTAGACTACTACCTTGCTCCAAAAAAAAAAAAAAACCCACAACAAACAATCATGTCCTTAAAGGGACACAATAGTCAACAAAACTTTAGCTTAATAAATCTGTTTTGAGGTATAGATTTAGCTTAATGAATCCGCTTTGGTACAACAGTAGTCTCACTGTTCAATTCTCTGCCATTTAGGAGTTACCGGTAAATCACTTTGTTTATGCAAATTAAATTAGCAATGTGATTAAGGAAAAGGCAGTTGAGGTTTCAGTTATAAAATTACCTTCTTAAAGGCCAGGTGACAGAACCGGCTCTTCATAAGCAGTTTTGTAGATGTCTCAACTCTCGCCAATTACACATATGGTTGAGAAGAGTATCACCTGCTAAACACCCCAAATTATAATCCACAACAGTTGAGTCACTCCACTAATTAATATCTATGTTTGACAGACTAAAATAAAAGAGTACTAAGAGTTGAATTTAAAACATACCTAGTTCTACATGCCATATGAAGCCCCAGTCAGATTTCATAGCAAACCACACAAAGTTTTTCACAATCACTAGCATTTCTTTTACATCTTGGTGGAAAATTAGGATATTAAAAAATAAATACTGTAAATAAAAATGTGAAAATAGTTTTGCACCATTGAAAAACAAGACTTAAATTTAGACAGATATCGCAAAAGTATAGAAGATAAAAAATAAATTAAAAAAAATATATATATTTACACACCCCCAGGTGGAAATGTCCAAATTGAGCCCAAAGTGTCAATATTTTATGTGGCCACCATTATTTTCCAGCACTGCCTTAACCCTCATGGGCATAGAGTTCACTAGAGCTTCACATGCTTGACTGTAGATAAGACACACATGTCTTTGTACTCCTCACCTGGTTGCTGCCACACACGCTTGACACCATCTGAACCAAATAAGTTTATCTTGGTCTCATCGGACCAGAGGACATGGATCCAGTAATCCATGTCCTTGGTCTGCATGTCTTCAGCAAACTGTTTGTGGGCTTTCTTGTGCATCATCTTTAGAAGAGGCTTCCTTCTGGGAAGACAGACATGCAGAACAATTTGATGCAGTATGCGGTGTATAGTCTAAGCACTGACAGGCTGACCCCCCCACCCCATCAACCTCTGCAGCAATGCTGGCAACACTCATATGTCTATTTCCCAAAGACAACCTCTGTATATGATGCGGGGCATGTGCACTCAACTCCTTTGGTCGACCATGGACGAGGCCTGTTCTGAGTGGAACCTGTCCTGTGAAACCAATGTATTGTCTTGTCCACTGTGCTGAAGCTCAGTTTCAGGGTCTTGGCAATCTTCTTATAGCCTAGGCCATCTTTCTGTAAAGCAACAATTCTTTTTCAGATCTTCAGAGAGTTCTTTGCCATGAGGTGCCATGTTGAACTTCCAGTGACCAGTATGAGAGAGTGTAAGAGCGATAACACCAAATTTAACACACCTGCTCCCATTACGACCTTTTAACATGAAAATGGCTAATTGGTCCCAATTTGGACATTTCCACTTAGGGGTGTACTCAATTTTGTTGCCAACGGTTTAGACATTAAAGGGACACTCCAGGCACCCAGACCACTTCTGCCCATTGGAATGGTCTGGGTGCCAACTCCCAATACCCTTAACCCTGCAACTGTAATTATTGCAGTTTTCATAAACTGCAATAATTACCTTGCAGGGTTGACTCCTCCTCTAGTGGCTGTCTACTAGTAGTGTCCTCCGCCGACTGACGTGATGAAGGGGAGGAGCGGTAACGACCCGAAACCACCGCCGGCGCTGTTCCCCACGGCAGGGGTGTCAGGTAAGTCACTGAAGGCCTTCAGCAACCGGGGATGGGTGGTGGGAGGGAGAGGGGACATGCAGTGCCAGGAAAACTGATTGTTTTTCTGGTACTGGAGAGTCCCTTTAATGGCTGTGTGTCGAGTTCTTTTGAGGGGACAGATTTACACTGTTATACAGGCTGTACAGATATAAAATATGAGAGATATATATACATATATATACACACACACACACACACACACTAAAAAAATTATATATATATATATATACACATATATATACATACATATATATACACATACATACATACATACATACATACATACATACATACATACACACCCACCTCTGTCTATGAAACACTTACCTGATTCCAGCGTCAAGCTGGGTCAGGCTCCAACGTAAGCCGATGGGGGTAACCTAATGCACATGGCACGGAATGAGCATTAGGCCTTCCCCATAGGAAAGCATTGACTCAATGCTTTCCAATCATTCCTATCTACAAACTTGCACCATAGTCATTAAAAAGCTACTTTTGGGTAAAAGATTAGACACAGTGATATATCCAGCTGGCAGTGGCACACGGAAATGCACAAAATGTTTTAAGTGGGTATTACCAGTCAGGGCAGATTTAAAAGTTTAGTCCATTATTAGCTTGTATTACACACTGATGCATAGGACAATTCCCAGTAAACTGCTGGGCATACAAATGTAACAGACATGGTTAGGTGATGGGAATATCATTCTCAAAATGATTTGCATCTCCCTCCCTGGTCCAGGCAATTATTATAGGAATAGCAGATCAATTTCCACGCTGTGGCAACATGCCAGAATACTAGATTACAGGTATCTAGGAGGACAGCTATGAAATATTCTAATGAGCTAGATGTTCATGTACAATTTTAAATGAATGTCCATGGGCAGTGGTGGATCTAGTCATCAGAATGATCAGGGTACAAATGGTTTTTAAAAAAAAACAAAAACAAAAAACAATTTTTTAATTGCTGTCAAACCAGCTTCTGGCACAAATAAATATATTCCCCAGCTTCTGGCACAAATAAATATATTCCTTATTGTAGTGTAGAGACACACAAAATTTTTTTTTTTAAATTAATCTATAGTGAATGTATTTAACATTGTAACATTTTAGACAGTTGCAGTGTTTCAGTACAAAATATAGCCTATTCCTTTTTAAAGCACTGCTAACACTTGAGAGTAATTTATTGGCCAACACTCTGCCAAGCACACCATCAGGATTATTCTCTACATAATTTGATTAGATGCTCTAAAACATAGACGAAAGTAATCTTGAGGTGGTGCAGTGGGGGTTTAAGGCTTAAAGGGACTCTCCAGTGCCAGGAAAACAAACCGTTTTCCTGGCACTGCAGGTCCCCTCTCCCTCCCACCCCAAGTTGCTGAGGGGGTTAAAACCCCTTCAGTGACTTACCTGTATCCAGTGCTGATGTCCCTCAATGGTAAAACAATCGCAAAACAAATTTAGATATCCTAAACTATAGTATGGATTAATTCAATTTAGTAAACCACAAACCCAATTGTACTTTAAAAGGAACACTCCAAACCCCTTAAGCACTTCAGCAGTTGCTGTCAGACAATTAATGTCACCCACCCTGGCTTTTGAAGCGAGTCATTGGACCACCAGATAGCAGCTCGCTATAGTAGTTGTGATGCTTGGTGCAAACCTTAAAGATGCACCTTTGTCAAGTGTAGGAAAAAAAATAAAAAAATTATAAGACAAAAGTAGTCCCTACTTTGTCTTGAGTTTTTTTTGTTTTGTTTTTTTGCTTGTTTCTGAATTTGTATTTTATTGAAGGTTTTCACATACAATACAATGATATTTTTGGTTACATACAAAGTAGGCTGTAACAATGCTTACAATTTCATAAGAACAGGAAATGAAAATAAATAATATAATAGAAAATAAATTTACATAGAGAACAAGTTGGAAAAGAAACAATTGTGCAGGTATTTAATTGATGCACTAATTGGTATCCAGTTTACATGGCTATAAAAGTATAACATACTGATGGAGGGGCAAGGATAAAAAACCATCAGGCCATGCAGCTATTACCCCTGTCTAGAGTAGCTAGTGTCTCCTCCTCCTTGCCCTCTGTTCCCTTTTACCCTTCTGTTTCAAACACAGACCTCCCAACTGGATTCAACTCTATTTCTGCCAGTCCGTGAAAAGGTCATCAATTTTTCATATGTATGATTAGTTTAGACTTTTTCTATTACCTCAGCTACTGTTATTTCTAGTGAGAAATAACTCATTATTATGCAGATATCCTGAAAACAATCTGAACTAGATAAGAGCATCAAAAAGCTGCAATCACTGCTAAGTGATAAATTTAATGGTTTGGAATATTCTGTAGAGTCGATCACTAGATTATAGGTTAAACACTTCTAAAAGTAAACATTTTGTGGCTGGAATGAAGAAGCTCTGTGGATTTAAACCATCAAGAAAGAATGCCATGATTTACATTTTTCTACCATAATGACAAAAAATTTAAAAGACTCTTACATCATGTGTCAGTGTCAATGGCAAAGTCTGCTTTCCAACTTCCTGGACGAACAAACTCATACAAAAGAGTATCCATCGTCAAAACAGCTCTCAAACGGATGTCAGAACATTGGTGCAGATATCAGGATGCTAATGCCAAGTCATGTCTGCACAGCAGCGAGTCTTTACAACCAGTCCAGTGTGGTGCCAGTACCCCAGACTGAAGCATGAAGTGCTCCATTGCAAAATAAATAAATAGCAACACTGATGCACAGCCAGTTACCTATGCGATATCATAACGCACATTTTTAAGTTAATTTAACCCTCTTCCTGAGAAGCAATGCACTGCCAACTGTACTTAAAATAATAAATCTAAATTTGGAGTCAGTGTACACAGCAGGAAGACATTTACTTTATTAGCACATTGACGTGAGGTTTGAAGACAAGAAGAAATTTCTCGTATTCTATTTTAGAGTAACTGATGAATGCTTATTTTACTGTCCAAACTAAACAATCTTTGACCTAATAATTTCATTTTTGTCTGCACTGAACAGCAGCAGAGTTGTTGACCCACGTTGTGGCGATTATGTTTACCTTGGCAAAGTATGCGCTTGCACTGAAAAGTAATTTTAACATTACAGAATTATCATACACTGGTAACATTCGCAGCACTGGGACCGGTGGAAAAAACAAGCTCGATAAACAGTCTGTATGAAAATCAGAGCGGTTTAAGTTCCACTTTTCATATTAAGAGTAAATACAAAAAGGTTTCACTTCTGGTATAGTTCCTATAATTATTTTAGGTTTTCGACAGTCAAAACACACAATGACCATACTTCTGCCAATTTCTCTTCACTGTCCATTACATCTAACCTCACTCCGTGCGACTTAGACCCTCAAAACATTCATTATTGGCAACTGAAAAGCCACACAAAGGGAGTGTGTAAATGACACTTAGAAAAAATGTTAAGTTAGTTTTCCCTTAAAACAGGAACTGATAGCCTAGACTTTCAATGTACTAATATTGTTTAGACAAGTAATACCATTTTTAAACATTCACACAGTCTAGGTTATTAATTTATCTATAAAAGGAAACAACCATATACATATTATAGGTTTTCATTGGCCTGCAATCTCCGAGTCTAACTATATATACTACAATTCTACAACACCCAATGAACTGCCTTTTGTCCATCCCTGCAGTCCAACTACTATGACGCTATGCTGCGCTTTACAGTAGCAAAGCATTGTGTGGGAGGTTTAGTTTTACAACATTTGGGGATCTATCTTTTGGCAACCATTGTAGTAAGTATTTTCAGACATGTATAGATAACCTATTTTAATATATAATTATGGAGGGTATTCACCCTCCATAATTACACATTAAAATAGGTTATCTATACTATACTAAACTATACTTTAGATCCTCTGTCCATCCTGCAGAAAACAGAAACTGAACGTAATAACCTGGAATCTGTCAAAAAGGATTCAAGCCATTAATGACTAATTTTATGTATTTCTGAGAATGAAAACACTAACAAATCACTAAATATTTTGGGCTGTGCGATCATGAACTCTGTGTATAGTTACTGGGCACGATTCTATAGATTGCTCTCAAATACCAGGGGTGTGTTAATTTAGTGTGTAGCTGTCCAATGAGACAGCTTTAAAAATAAGCAATCTTTTACAGGATGTGCTGAACTGACAATCAAAATATAGTGTGGCCATGTTCAGCAGCCAAGGGAAACACTGACTACTGGTATAGAAAGCAACAGATAGTTGTATTTAAATACTTACCAGACATGCATTTTCTTATTTAGCCACTAAAATTTCCACTAAGCGCTTTCTGGCACACAGAGACCAGTCATGACCAGTGAATGGATCTGTGCTAAAGCACAGCTAGCAAGACACTAGTCACAAAAGTTTTTAAATCAAACTGAGGCAGTTTTATACAGGACTAGAAAATGGAAAAATATACATACTTTTGGATAGTCCAACTCAAAAAAGGACTCTAAGTTGTTGATGAGGTTAGGGTCAACCCCCTTAAGTGGTTTAAGTAGTGAAACACCAGGAAGCTTGCTGTATGGTTGCTTGTCTGATGCCTTCTTGTTGAGGTGTAGCCTCCTGAAAATACAATGAACAAATTATTTCATTGAGAAATAAAAAACAAACAAAAATGTAGTACAACTATTTCAACTAGCACCGTAATTCTTATTCAGGAACAGCTCACTATACATTACAGCAGCTTTGTCAGACCACTGCAATTATTTATGTAGTTGCAACACTGGGTACATTGAGTAGAAGGAATATTAAAGAAATAATGGGTGTCAAACTAAACCAGTGTTAAAAAGGCATCCAATGTATCAGAACCACTATAGTTATTCGCAGTTATTGACTGGGTTAGTCCACTGCTCCCAGTCTATTACTGCTGCTAAAAGTTGAGGTCCATCTCTGTAATAGGTAAGGTACACCCCATACTGTAGGTGCTGGGAGAGCCTTTGTTTTTGACAAATATCTCAAAACAGAGATGATGCAAATGGATGGATGTGGCCCAAAGGCTATGAACAACAATGAACTATATTGATTATGGCGTTTACAGTAGCCTTTTAAGTCTGATTAGAGCTCTAGGATTTCTCCAAAGACTGTAGCCTCAATTTAATAAGCTTTCCAAATGATTAAATAAGGTTAGAAAAGTATTCAAGTGGTTTATCTCCAGAAGCCAACATTAAAGTCTATGGGATTTTTGTAAACAAATCATTGGGAAAGCTGATTAAATCAAGGCCTATATAAAATTGCAAAACAGTGAGCTATTCTTTAAGAATTCATGTGAAAACATGATTAATTTGTGGCTTTTAACCCCTTAAAGACCAAACTTCTGGAATAAAAGGGAATCATGACATGTCACATATGTCATGCGTCCTTAAGGGGTTAAAGTTTGGAATAAGATGTAAGAATGAAAATACTGTCAAGAACACATAATTTATTCTACATATTACCCAGATACAGCAGCTGCTACACATATGAAGGCACAGTCTGTAACATGTCACCATTTAAAGGAACACTCCCTGAGTCCTTACAGGAAAAAATGGGTAGTTCCACTGAACTAAGCAGGTCCAAACTGATCAAATATCAATCAGGTGACCCAGGCAAGTTGTCAAAATGAAAAGGTTTTCAAAAATAACTTTGGAAGATCATTAGGGCACTCCTGGCACTAAAACCATTACATAGGGATTTAAAGCTGTACTTGAATAGTCTACCAAAAAATAAATATTCTTACAATTTAACCCCAAATTTGAATTTAGGACACAGCTTCAAATGTAAAAGGCTCACATGACAGAAAATGTCAGTCATGTGTCCTTAAGGGGTTAAAAAAAGACTTTGGTGGGAAAAGTAGACTTTTAAAATCTCAGAAAAATAGGGGGTGTAAAGGAGAAATACTTTATTGCTGCTATATGATGGCAAATGCATTTCCAGAATATCTTAAAATAAAAATAGACCAGTAACGGTATGGGTCAGACACATTTGATTCCATTCAGATTAGTTTAGTTGATGAACTCTTTACACGAACAACCGCCCTTTGGTGGCAAGTGTTCTTCCTCAGAATAAACAGATGTGGTAGCTGCACAGGAATGGTTTAGCACAGACACCATTCTAAATTATATTTTAGCCAATGGGTGCATTTTGGTCAGTGAATGCCATTAATGCGATGCTAGCTGTACACTACAAATGTATACACTATGCATACACTCAGTACATAATGAATATATACTGCTGGTCACATCCATTACTTCCTCATCAGATGGTTTACATTTCAGCTGTATTGGTACCTTCTCAAATTTTAAACATCTCGTCCCATGAAGCCATGTCAACACTTTTTGCACTGGTTATGTGATTTTAACCCTTTCATGTAAAACATTCCTGTATTGTAGAAATAATGTTTACAAGGAAGGGTAAATGCACCTACAGCAGCAGTGTAACAGCCACTAGAGGCACTTCTGCCTCCACTGCAGAGTTAAAGGACCACTCTAGGCACCCAAACCACTTTAGCTTAATGAAGTGGTCTGGGTGCCTGGTCCAGCTAGGGTCAACCCCCTTTTTTTTTTTTTTTTTATATATAAACATAGCAGTTTCAGAGAAACTGCTATGTTTATAAATAGGTTAATCCAGCCTCTAAAGCCTCTAGTGGCTGTCTCATTGACAGCCGCTAGAGGCGTTTGCGTGCTTCTCACTGTGAAAATCACAGTGAAAAGACGCAAGCGTCCATAGGAAAGCATTATGAATGCTTTTCTAGGAGACTGGCTGAATGCGCGCGCGCGCAGCTGCTGCCGCGCATGCGCAGTCGAAGAAGAGGAGAAGAAGTGGAAAGGAGGAAAAGAGCTCACTGCCCGGTGCTGGAGAAAGGTAAGATTTTTACCCCTTCCTTTTCCCAATGCCCGGCGGGAGGGGGTCCCCTCTGGGCACTATAGTGCCAGGAAAACGAGTATGTTTTCCTTGCACTATAGTGGTCCTTTATGATGGTCAAATGATCTTACATCATTTGCTTGGCGCTGCATGGCGTTCTACTGTGCATGCGCTGTAGCCTTCCAATGTTCCTCTATGGGGAAGCATTGGATTTGCTGAGATCTTTTAGTTCGATAACCCTCACACTAGCAACAAGGAAACACATGTTTGCATTCCTAACATTTTAATGATAAGTTTTTGTTTTTTTAATAGGAGTACACTTTTACAGAACTTTATATCAAGCCATAAACCAAACCCCCTCCTTCCCCCCCCCCCCCCCCCAAAAAAAAAAAAACCACAACCACCATTAGAGATACAACCATATTACAGTGACCTTCAGAAATGCCCCTTATCTCATGAATGCAAAATTCAGGATCACCAATCTTTCTGATTAACCAAAGTATGGCTCTTAAAATCATTCTATAGAGACACACACACACCTCGTCCATTAAATATTGCCGTTATGCAGGAATGGTAGTGTTTCCATTTCAGGGTTAAGCTGCATCCAGTGGCTGTCATATTGACAATATTGACAACCACTAGAGATGCATCCGTGATATAGTGGAGTAAATATCCAAAGGTTCAATTAGATGGTCTCAGAGGGAGAGTCTGACTGATGCAGAATTTTGACATGCATGCATACTAGCCTCTCAAGGCTTTATATTGGGGGGATATCATTAATCTTTATAATCTCGCTGGGGACCAGTCCTGCAAGGGAGAAATGATAAGTAAAATCATCTTTTTAACCCTGGCACCAGGGTCCGTTCACCTGAATGGTGACTAGGGCACTATAGCGTTAGGAATCCGCATTTGCATTCCTAATACTATGGTGTTGCTTTACGGTTTTAATACTAAACTGGCCTTCATCTTAATACCAACCTTTCGTTTTCTGCTTCTATGAAGTATGTGCAATTCTGTTGTATATATTTCTGTTCAAATGGTCCATGCTTTTATCATCTGGTCATTCATCAATTTTTAGCAAAGCTTCCAATAGGGACCCTCTCATCTTTGTTGGAGCTAAACATGGCATCAAAATATCCTTCTATTACCTACTCCTTTGCTCTCAGAGATTCCCCCAATCGTGTAGATATGAATACTCCTCTGCTAAATAAATCACCTTCAACTGTCCACCAGAAGATGTAGGCAAACATGGTGTACACGATGAAATGCATTATGAAATGCAATCATACCCAGATCTTTAAAGTAAACGCCTAAAGTGAACCACTTATAATAACCATTATTTAATATGGCAATTAAATTATCTTACAAAAACAAACTATGGATTAGCAAACAGACAGTGCAATAAATAGATCTTAAAATTTACAGAAATGAGTTGGTTCACAAGTTATAAAGCCATGTTAACCAGACAGAAAACCCAGCGAGTAAACTCTGGCACAAGAGAAGCTAAGGAAACACACGCCAGTGAATGTTAGTCCCTAGACAACATATCTAATTGTTTTGAGTCTTTATTTGAGAGCTCAGCAAGCATCAGCGAGAAGCGAATTCCTTTAGCTATATAAACACAACTTATTGCAGTAGCTAGGAACTAATAACACTAAACGTACTTGTGGATTTTGCTAGGAGTAAATTAGGTAGATTTCATTTTTGGAGTCTATATTAATTTTATGCTGCTTTAGTTTTAACATCTTTCTGCACAGAAAACCTTTGTGAGCCAACACTAGAAATGACTGATTCAAAGAAAGTACCATTGTTCATCAGTATAAGGAATACTGCTTTATGTGTCAGCACAACCATGAGGAGACCCCAGCAGCTTTGGATAAGGATTCCCATACTGTGGTTTGCTACCTGAGCATTGCATCAATAATAGCTGCATTATCAGACACCCCAGCAACAGTTGCCTAGCATGTGAGCCTTGTGCAGAAGAAGATTTTCAGGATGTGTTTGAGGTCCACACTTCTATACAAACTGTACTGCAGTTTGAGTGTCAGTGTATTGTATGTGGTTTAAAACACTGTCAGTCTGTCTGGCAGAACTAAACATTCAAGGGTTTATAGTCATGCACAGTTCGTGCAAATCACCTTCTCAATATTATTATAATAATAATAATAATGAGTTGAATTTTATTATTACCAAGGTAAACTCCAACTTATATGAAGCAAGTAACCAAACCATCTATTTTGTATGTAGGGCACAGATGGGTAACTATGCACCTAAGCATTTCGTGAACTACAGTTCTGCCTCCCCAACATCACATTCTACTCTTTTCCACTATTCTCCATCTTGTCTAGTTTCTTTCCTTTTTCTGCCATATGGTTTTCTTGCATTTACAAACATGGAGTAGTTTTCCAATTCCTTCTCTTATTTTGCTGGCACGTCCACTCTATAGAATGATGGACTTTAAATTGGTTGGAAATGGCCTTGGAACCATTACCAGTTTGATTGGCAGCAGCAACAACTGCTTCTCCAAGATCATTGCGGATGTCTTGGCATTGTGTTAACACAAACGTGAATGCTCCAGACTAGCAAACTGCTAAAACGTTAGCTTTTATAGAGGTGGTCACACTTGCTGATGATCAGTTAATAAAGGGCATTTGATTAGCAGCACCTGTTTGATACTTTGCCTTCTTCATTTTTGCTTTATTTTTGTTAAATCATGAGACCTGTGTAATACGTCATGAGTTGTTCGTCTGAGGTTTTCTTTACCTTGTTTATATCCAGATATAAAAAACCACAGAATTCGAAGTGGGTGTCTTTTCTTTTTCCAATGATTGTACTTGTTTGCAGGTCAATACTTTCAGAGATTTACATTAAAAGGCCCAACAGTTGATTACTGGAGACAAGAACACTGTTCTTCATTCACTTGATAAAACCCAAAACATTTATTTACTTTCAGCCACAGATACTATCCCATGAGTGTACTGGAAATAGTTGGTGAAACAAACCTGAAGGAATTTGGCAGATTAAGCCCAAATTATAACTTGTTGCTCTATCTATTACAAGACCATGTTACTCAATCTTTGAAATATCAGCTAATGCAAAGCCAGTTACAGCTTTCTATTCCCATTCAGAGTTGATAACCAGTTGTAAGGTAATGTAGACTGCCCTTCTACTTCGGTAACACCAACAAAACACTGTGAAAGGCAAACACAAAAATGAAAAAGGGGGAGGGTTTGAGAGACACGTACATGCCTTTTTATACAATTTAAAAGGAACCAGAAGGGCATGTAATGATTGGTTTCAACTAACAGCAACTGAATTATTATATTGATTAGGCAATAATAATTATAGAGAACAAGGTTGTCAGACGATGGAGTAACAAAATTAAAGCATTGTTGGCCCTGCAGAATCTAAGCCAGTAAAAACTGTAAATATAGAATTAGGTGAATAAATTCATAAGAGTGTATGTTCTGTATGATGACTAATTTATAGTACTTGGACTCATATTTTAATGGCAATGACACAGGATTGCCTGGTGCATACAGACATTAACAGAGCACAACGTGTTTGTGTATAAATGCAGTGGGTTCTAAGTAGACATTTTGACAGGTGACAGTTAAAGGGCTGCAGATGAAATGCTCAGACTCAGACAGCTGTCGTTATTCAGCTATGTGCACTGACATCTGTTTCAATGTGTCACACCAAGAGTGCACAAACTGCAAATCATGGACCAAGTCAAGAACTGAAAGCATTGGTTTAAAGGGGACAGCAAAGCCTGTGATTACTTCTTGATATCTCAAGAAACTAGTTCTGCAAAGCTGCTTTTATCCCACAGTTAGACAGGCCAACTGCGGTCTGAAATATAAAGGTTTACTTGCCTTCACAAATGAGATGACATATTTCTTCTGAATGTAAAATGCTTTACATTAATACTTTTAATATTATAGTTCAAAAAGGTATCCAAATAAAAAAGGCTTAATAGTCTATTTCCAACACTTGTTATCTTAATCTAAGGTTTAGATTTTCACTCGAACGTTACTTTTATGCAGTCTAGAAACAAGTCAATATAGTTGCAAAGCTTTGGTTTACTAAGAAGGCAATGAAATCTCATGAGATAGTAGAATCATCAATATCCACATTGATGTATATGATATCTTTGAAGTAAAGGATGGATGTTATTTTTATCTTGCTACATCCGTATGATTAGACCCTTTAAAGTGAATGTCAATTTCGGGGTCTTTGCATATTTTGCAAAGACTACCGAAACAGGCAGATCCAGCGTGGGTCCGCTGGCCAGGTGGTCAAGGCAGGTGAGTTTTATTTACCTCAGGCTGTCCCTCACGGTCAGCTTTATGCCACAGGTCCTCTTAGGCTTCTGCCACTTTAATTGCCAGGAATCATATACTCTCTTAAACAATAAGTGTCTCTTGCGTTAGTCAGTCTTAGATCATACATGTAGACAGTGTATGTTTCTTACACAGCATCATAGTACCAAAACTGCTCCCAGTTTCTCCTGTCCTTAAAAGCAAGGCTGATAGCCTTGGATGAGAGCTGTAACTGAGCACTGTCAGCCAATGAGTGCTGCTATGAATCGAGCCGTGCCTAGCTCAAAGCAGACAATCGGCTTCTCCAGTTGGAAAAGCAAGATGCTGTTGGGTCCCCAGGGAACACAGGTAAGTAGTAAAACCAGTTTTAAAACTGCTTGACAAAATTACTTTGGAGGTCGTAAGGGAATTCCTGGCACCATAGGCACTACAGCAGACTGTAATAGTTATGGTTCTTGGAGTGTTCCTCAATGGTCCTACATTTATTTAGGGTCCAAAGTCAGTGTCTTACCGTAAATGCATAAATAAATATTTAAAAGTAATGAAAACCATAAAGCAATTAAAAGTGGTCACAAGTTCCAGGTCTGTGTACCGGAACTGAAAACCGAGGTGTCAGTTTTAACAGATCATACGTTGATTGAAAGTGATATCAAGGAAATCATGTCTGAACTGTACAGCATGTACCAAAAATAAGGAAATATAAAAATATATATATCAGTCAGCTATAGTGAGAGCACCATATTATGCAATCTTAAAATAGTAACAGGAAGAATAAAAAAAATAAAATAAAAATAACAAACAAGTTTACATGTTATTAATGTGTGTTTAACGGCTACATATATAAGCTTGATAACCACAAAAGGCAAAATATATACTATTTGGGAGAGTCCAAAATATATATATATATATATATATATATATATATATATATATATATATATATATATATATATATATATATATATATATATATATATATATATAAAACACAAAACACAAGATCCAGCGCACTCACCTATCCACTAAACGGCAACTTCAATGTTGAAAGATTTTATTAGTTTTTTTAAAAACACCTAATCTAGGCAAAAATAATGGGGGTTTAGTTACATTATATGATCATACATTGCATAAGCCTGCCACAACGTCAATGTACCCCATCTTTGGCAGGTCCTACACTAACAGCCTAATATATATATTTTTTTTTTTTTTATTACAATTCTACAGATTTAATGGATAGATGGCTTGTGAAATAAGAATTAACGTTATTAAAAGTAAAAAAAATAAAGTTGGCTCCTAAATTTCTCTCTGAATTATACCAGCTTTCTTCAGCATGAGTAGTAATTAATTGAAATAGGATGTATTTTTCTACACTTGGAGATTTAGATCTCAACCAGCAATTCATGTTTGGACTAGAACAGCACATTATTGAATATTTTTGCAGAGTTTAAGTTTGGGGTTTTTCTTCCAATAAAAAACTTATTTATTTTTTAATCACAGTAGATGTAAATCCTAAATTCTTTTGAATTAAAAAAAAAAAAGTTTTATGGGCAAATTTATAAACCATTAAATTCTACAGAATTATGTTTTGATATTAAAAATGCATTTAATTGCTATATTGGATAGTCTTATTTTGTGGCACGGGTTTTTGATCCAGAACCACTACAATTAATGCCGCTTAAAGATTGAAAGCCTCAAAAAGTTACATTTATTTCTACCAAGTTGTTTGTGTGTCTTAAGTTTTACATTAGATCAAAAGGAATTACCAAAAAATTGTCTTACTGTACATCTGAAACCTGTCAAGCCAAAACTCAAATTACAAATGAAATCAAACACACGTTAACTGATAAATTGCAAGTATATCAGATTAGAAACTAGAGCAAAAAGGGGTCAGTAAAATAACACTGGCAGGGTTCTCTACAAAACAATGTACAACATCAAAAAGGTTCTTGATGTGGATCTAAAGCTTGCATGACAAAAGATGTGTGTCCAAACCACAAACAACAATGTTAACCAATGATGAAAAAAGGAAGGGTGGACATAATGGGTTGAACAAACCTTGAAAAGAGTAGCCATTAAGAAACACGGTAACCGTAAACAATCAGCTGTGCCACCAAGACGAAAAATTCCATTGGGAGTAGTTAAATGCTCACTGGCTCCCAAGGGTACAAATCAGTTTTAAATATAGAACTGCGGTAATTGCATGGAAATGGTCTTTGAATAAAAGGGTTTTATGAACAAAGTCCAGACTTTTTGCATAAGTACAAAAAGTCTAGGGAACTTTGAGAATATCTCGAGTTCAGATCAATAACGTTCAACAAAACCATTGCTGTTCTACATAACTTGGGAAAACCTGCAATACATTTAGAGAAAAAATAAATAAATTGTATAGATAAATTATATATCAAATGGCAAACCGCAAATATGGGCCTTTCATTGTGTGACAACAACCACAAGGTGAAGGCTCTATTTCATTGTAATCTCAACTTCTATTTTTAACCAAGTCTAAATTTTGTCAGTGAATATACCTCAAAATCCTTATCATTGTGATAAGACTTACAGGACCATTTACTAAAGTGAGAATTTAAAGTGATCTTGTGTTTCTTAAACTTAAAGCCAGAGTATCCAATCTGAAAGCATCGCTGACAGAGAATTTTTCAGTTTCAACTATTGTGACCTTACATTTCAAATCACCTTAAACTCTCACTTTAGTGAATAACCTTGTTTGGGTTTAAAGGAACACTATAGGGACAGGAATACAAATATGTATTCCGGACACAATAGCCGTGAGAGCAATGTTTAGGTCCCCCGGCCAGCTACTAAAAGGTGAGTTTACTCATCTTTATTCCAAAGCTGCGTGGGTGTGCCGGCGCTGCTTCCACCTGCGATCCACATCCTTGGCAGGGATCATCAAAACTGATGATGCCAGCCAATAAAATGCATTCCCATAGAAAAGCATTGGTAGGCTAAACACCACCGTGGCCAATCAGCATCTCCTTATAGTGATACATAAAATCAATGCATCTTTATAAGGAATGTTCAGTGTCTGTTGAGCAGCACTGCCCCACAAAGCACCTGTATTGGTAATTTGAGGAGTGACCACTAGAGTTGTCCCTAGGCTGTAATGTAAACACTAGGTATTCTCTGAAAAGACAGTGTTTACATTAAAATACCTGCAGGGACAGAGACACCAAAACAACTACATTACACTGTGGTTCTGGGGACTAAATTGTAGCTAACATGCATCAGTTATGCAAAACAATACTGTGGCACTTTCCAGACAGGTTTCCATCGATGTACCATTTTAGCACACCATTGATATATGTTATGACAGAAAATGTATGTTTTCCATTATACCTACAGAGGTATTTTTTGTTTGTTTGTTTTTTTTTTAAACGTGTAGAGCTCTGAAAAGAAGTGTGACATTAAATGCCAGCAAAACCAGCAGGCACTATTCATCTCCTCAAACCACTCTGTGGAACATGTCACATATATATTTTCGTCTAAGGCAAAGGAAAGGTTTTTTTACTGTAAGAACAATCAAAATGTGGAATTCTCTGCCTGAAGAAGTGGTTTTATCAGAGTCCAGACAGATGTTCAAACAGCTACTAGATGCATACTTGCAAAAACAGAATATTCAAGGATATAATCTTTCAATGTAGGGTAATAACTGCTTGACCCAAGGATAAATCTGACTGCCATTCTGGGGTCAAGAAGGAATTTTTTTCCTAGCTTGTTGCAAAATTGTGCTTCAAACTGGGTTTTTAGCATTCTTTTGGATCAACAGCAAAAAACAAATGTGAGGAAGGCTGAACTTGATGGACGCAAGTCTCTTTTCAGCTAATTATATATATATATATATATATATATATATATATATATATATATATATAAAAACACTTGTGCTAAATTCAACACTCATACATACAGTTTCACACTAGACAATACAGAATTCTACACCAATACACAGTTGTCCACTACACTACTATGTGTAAAAAGTTTAAAAAAAAAATATAATATACAAATAAAGCAAATCGATAGATGAGTAAAGAGCAATGTTAAATATCCCATTGAGAAAGACAGATCCACAATTTATATATCAAGTAGCAATGATGGACAAAATGTAGCGTCCCAACTATTGCAAAAGTAAGACTCCCACAATACTTTACGAGCCTTAATAGTAACGTTAAAAAAAATTTTTACGGTCACCTCAGCTACGTTTTTTTGAATGTCTATTTATTGTACTAGCATTACACATACTATAAATAATTTATGGAACACAGTATTTCCTGTAGTTCCCAAAAGGCTGCCATCAGAAATAATGGTGATGGTACAGATATCTGTACTGCTTTAAAATATTTTTTCCACCTATTCTGGAGCAGAGAATTCCAGAGTGGCGATCTCAAAATGCACAAAATGTAAAATACACTTAGATTAGCTTATTCCATGTGTGCCTATAAACAAAGGACGTGTAGCAGACAAGAATACATGTATATAAGCCCATTTCAGAAACAAAGTAGTAGATATTTATTTAAAATGTGTTTGATCATACACACACACACACACACAAAATAATAATAATAATTGAGCTTTTCCAGTTAAAGAATTACCCATATCCTTCTAAATAGGCAGGAAAGAAATGCTGAAACCATGGTATACACAGCCACACACCAAGAAAAGAAAAAAAAGCTTGTCTGCCAGGACTAGACAGAGGGTTTTTAACTGCTTCTCCAGACATATATACAGGCTGATAAAAGGATTTCCTGCCTTTCAGTCTCAACACATGATGCTTCATTCAAGAGTCCCCTGATCTTCACTGGATGGCCAGAAGCAGGAGGTTGGAAGAAAGGAGCGTTTGTATAAACTGGTGTGAGAGGAGAGGGTGGGGTGGTATGGCCCTCTCCTAAAATGCGAAAATCAATATCAGAGGAAAATGCATTTATAATTCATGTACGATGTTCAGCATTTCTGCTTATGATTGACTAGTGACAATCAGAAATAGAGCACAGGGCCGCAAAAAAATCCTCATCTTGAAAATCTAAAGGGAAAACCACTCAACCAACAATACTGGTATAGTCTAAGATACATGGAGACTGGGGAGGGAATACAATAGTTGGACTTCTCCATATTAAAGATATAAAACGGTAGCAGACACAATGGATTATTTTTCACTAAACAGGTAATTATGCAGTCTTGAGAGAGAAAACTAAATTTTAGGGCAAAGTTGCTCAGCTAGGACAATAGCTGAAGAGGTTTTCTTCAATATGGTTAGTGTGAGCTATAAAATTATCAGTTCTGCACAATTGCCTGTTCAGTGTCTATGTTAGGGAGTCCACACTGCATCCATGGTGCAGCAATGAGTCCCCAGGCAGGCCCTCTGTGGTGCCTAGAGAGTGGTGTTTGGTGACAGTGTCAAGGGGAGGGGGCTGGGTATGTGTATCAATACCTAGTGACAGGAACACTGCACCCATCTTCCAAACAATGCAACCCCTCCCACCTGTGACAACCAGGGCTCTCACTGCCACCACGGCTACCAGTTATTAGTATTTTTATCACACAGCCAGGGCTCCCAGTTATTAGCCAGGGCTCCCAGTTATTATTAAACAGCCAGGGCACCCAGTTATTATTACACAGCCAGGGCACCCAGTTATTATTACACAGCCAGGACACCCAGTTATTATTACACAGCCAGGACACCCAGTTATTTATTATTATTATTAATATTGTTAGATAGGACTCCCAGTTATTTATCAATATGTTATTATTATTATTATTATTATTATTATTATTATTACACAGCCAGGGCTCCCAGTTATTATTACACAGCCAGGGCTCCCAGTTATTATTACACAGCCAGGGCTCCCAGTTATTATTACACAGCCAGGGCACCCAGTTATTATTACACAGCCAGGGCACCCAGTTATTATTACACAGCCAGGGCACCCAGTTATTATTACACAGCCAGGGCACCCAGTTATTATTACACAGCCAGGGCACCCAGTTATTATTACACAGCCAGGACACCCAGTTATTACTACACAGCCAGGGCACCCAGTTATTATTACACAGCCAGGGCACCCAGCTATTATTACACAGCCAGGACACCCAGTTATTATTACACAGCCAGGATTCCCAGTTATTATTACACAGCCAGGACACCCAGTTATTATTACACAGCCAGGACACCCAGTTATTTATTATTATTATTAATATTGTTAGATAGGACTCCCAGTTATTTATCAATATGTTATTATTATTATTATTATTATTATTATTATTATTATTATTATTACACAGCCAGGGCTCCCAGTTATTATTACACAGCCAGGGCTCCCAGTTATTATTACACAGCCAGGGCTCCCAGTTATTTGTTACTATTATTAATATTATTAGACTCCCAGTTATTTATCAATATGTTATTATTATTAGGCAGGGCTCCCAGTTATTATATGATTATATTTACACAGCCTGGGTGACAGGTCCCCCCCTCTCCATGGGGGCCAGGTTAGGGCCATGCAGTGTGCAGCCAGCAGCTCACTTACGTGTAAACGATGGATAAGCAGTGCATGAACCACAGCACGACGAAGAGGATGACGCCGAAGATGGCGAGACCCTGCAGGGCCAGATCTAGCACCGCCATCGCCGACAGGGGGGCACCGGGCAGGTCCTAGGGGCTGACTGGCACCAGAGAGGGGCTAGGTGTGTGCCCGATGAATGAAATATCTCTGTAATGACGGCCCCCAGCCACCTCTCAATGCAGACAGCACAACATAGAAATCCCTGCAGCGGTGATCATCAAATATTGTATTGGTAAATTGCTAGAGATCGTGTGCCAGTGCCGCCAGTCTCTTATTTCAGCAATGCGGGGGATGCTGTATCAAAGAGTGTTCTTTTATTTCCAGGATTTCCCTTTTATTCCGCCTGTCCACCACAATGTTTCAGAGCAGCGTAGCCCGGCTCTTTGCTCCGCTCCCGCCGCCTCCTGCTGCGGGGAATGCCTGCTCTGGCTGCTGGCAGAGGATATGACTCCAGAATCCCTGCGCGAGGACCAAGGAGGCCAACTGACATCAAGCCTCGCGCTGCACTTCAACCCCACCACCCTCCTACAGTTCTATCAGCCAGACGCATAGCCACGCCCCCCATCCTAGCTTCTCTCACTCAGCTCACGACCCCGCGTTCTATTTTTTCCATGCACCGCCCACTTCTGTCAAACGTCATCACGCCCCCTCGTCGCTAGGTCCCACCCCCTCCCGTGAATGCCGCTGCTGGCGTTTAGACACGGTGTCGGCATGAAACCTGGAGCGCGCACAGTGGGCGGGGTTCACTGGGTGCTTGCTTCTCATTGGATGGCAAACCCTTCAGGCTCCTCCTCATAGTAAGAGTTCCAGGATGACATAATCGCTCGCGCCCACCCATCCCTCCGAGTCCCGTGATGCTGTCAGTTATGAATGATAAGGCGGTGACGTCATCTGAGGGTCACTAAAGGAGCAGCCGTGTCTGACGTCACCTTTCCTGTTCTCCTTAAGCTGATAGTGTGAGAGATAGGCTCAGTATCGGTGGGAAATACTGAGTGTAACTCCTGTCCCCGGGCTCATTCACTAACTGAGAATTCAGAGGGAGTTTCACATGTAAGGCCAAGGTAGCCGAGCTGGAGACATAGATGACTGTGATAATGGTTCCACATCGACTATTATGGCCTTAAATGTGAAATCCGCTTTGCATGAACTTTGAAGTCTTACAGCTTTAAATAAATCTGATGGTATTAAAGGGATAGCTCAGGCACCATAACAACTTAATTTTAAATAAGGTTGTTATGGTGCCAGGCCCCTGGGTGGACTCCTACCTGGAGTGGTTTAACCCCAAACTTACCACCAGCGCTGATTCCCACTCCTCCCAGGCAGCATCCGGCTTCTGAATGTGCAGAGCGCCGCCGGGCAGGGGCATTGCTGATTGGCTGAGAGCAGTCACAATACGTACCTTTCCCAAGCCGCCTCTGTGAATGGAGAGTCACTGATTTTATTAAAGGACACGGAGGCTCGTATTAGGCTTTATCGCTTTCTTTATTCCTCAGCAGCCAAGAAAGAATATTAAGATATTAAGAAAACAAATACCCATAAAGGGTTAACTTATTCATAAAAGATATAACATATTCAACCAATGGGAGCAATCCTCATTCCATATACTTCCATGTGACCCTACGCCACTCCTCTTTCTTTGCTGCTGCCTCCGCTAAGTACCTCATATTTTCTTGCTCTACAGATTTGTGATTGTATGTTGTTATACTGTTATTATAGACTAATCTACTGTAATTTTCTATGTTTTATTGGGTTGTCTATTTGGGGCGGGCCATCTTGCACAGCCCTCCCCCCCTTTGTTCGGTTTTGTTCCCCACCAACTCTTCCAGGGCTAACCCTTACCCCTTGCAACTTCAGGTTGCTTATAACCTGGTTTAGCCGCTCGCGGGACGACTTCGGGGTTCTGAGGTTTCTTTCCCCACCTTACCTCTGGGCGAGTCTCCCTGGCTGCCCTCCAGATCGCGGCCTAAACTGCTTCCAGTGCGCGTTTTTATGCCGCTCGCACCGCTCATTCAAGTGGTTGTCAGGCAGCTTACCAGTGTTCCCCAGAGGCCATAAAAGTTTGTGCTGCCCTTATTGTGCTCTGCCCTTCAGTACCTGGCTCTGTGCTTGGTCCCTTGATCAGCCCTAGTTACCCTCTGCTGTCAGAATTAACTCCTTTCTTCCCACTGTGGTGACTGTTCCCTTTTGCAGAACCCTTCATAAATGCAGGCTGCTACTCCCAATGCCTCTGTTAAGCCCAGTAAACACTGCCTACCCATGGGTGTAGGAACCGGGGGGGATGGGGGGAACTCACAAAATAGGGGGCGCGGCATCAGGAGGATCCCGGCGCTGTATCCAGGTAAGTAAAACCCCTTCCCTGTAGTGACCCTTTCATGTTATTATTTTATCATTTATATAGCGCCAGCAAATTCCGTACAATGGGATAAACAACTCCTAATTTACGGAATAAGAATATACCCGGCGAGTAAAAATGCTATCCCCCCCCAGATTTTTGGGGGTTCCTACGCCCATTCGCCTACCCACTGTGTCCGCGGGTCATACCACCCCTGATGGGGAAGAGGAAGTGTCCCAAGGGCAAATTAACTCTGAAGAGTTCCACTCGCTGGATGCTACAATGAGCAAATAACTAGCCATGCCTTTGACTCGGCATTCCCTGCAGCCTCTGATAAGCTGATGGTCCCTGGCGGCGTGGGTAAAAATACCTCCAAAAATGCTTTTGCGGACAGGTTGCGCCTTGTTGATACTGAGGACGTGGTGCTTCCACGTAAAAGAGCCACCCACCGGGCAAAAGCAGTGCAGACTTGGAAGAGGGTTAAAGCCTTGTCTGATTCCTCTGACTCTGATTCGGACTCAGAGGAGGTATCTGACGGGTCCAATGCAGTCGACCCTGTTTACTTGGAGGACTCATCTTCTGAACGCAGTGTGCCTGCGACGCCAGCTATTGAAGCTAGGCGGGAGGCGGATGACTCTGCTATCTTAGAGGAACCCCTTTTTAACCCTGATGCCCTGCATAACCCTTGTTCAGCTGAATGGTACCCCACTGACCATGTGGCCAAATACTTTGCAACTAGAGTTAGAAAACCCCTAGATAAGGCCACGAGAAATAAACGCCCTACGGTCCCTAACATGGCCTGTGTTACGAAGGATGTGGATCCTAAGATCGCCCAATTCCTGGGTTGGAAGGCCAAAAGGAGATTGGACTTTTCCCTGCGAAACTGTCAGGACAAACTCTTAGACGTGTTAGGGCCTATAGCCAAGATCTTCAACATGGTCGAAGCAGCCTTGACCGAGTGGGCACCAATAGACCTTTTGGCCATCAGAGGATGGATCCAATGTTCCATATGCTTGATAGGCAACGCTAACACCGCGTTGGCCACCGTACGGCGTAAAGTCATCCTGATGAAAAGTTTGCCAAAACTCCTCAATCTGGCAATGTCTGAGCCTGGCACACAGGCAAAAGGTTTCCTGTTCGGAGATGATTTTGTTAAAGACCTGGGCAAATATGTCAGTACCTTCACGGCACTAGACAAAGCACAAACGAACATGAAATGTTTGTTCTCTCAGTAGGTTTTCGGTGGGGCCGGCAGACACCGGGGCCGTCTATCTGGCTGCTCTTCCCGGATTTCGTACCGGGGCTATCGGTGCTCCGCCACATCTAGATTCCAACCTCTGGAACCCAGGGTACCGTCATCGTTCTTCCCGACAAGGCAGGTCGTGGCAACCCTGTGGAACCAGGGGATCCTCCTATGGCCGTCGGCCTTATGGTGAGTTAAATACCATCACACACCATTTCTCTGTCACATGTGTGGGGCAGACTATCCCATTTTATCGATGCATGGCACAAGTTAACATCATATGTTTGGGTCCTGGATAGCATTCTAGTCTATCACATCGAATTTGTACAACAACCAATCTAATTCTCACTACCACATCTGAACTGTTTTTTTCCCCACAAAACAAAGTCCTAGTATCAGAGGAAATTCGCACATTAAAGGAGAAAGGTGCGATCTACGAGGTTCCAGTTAGCACTCCTGAGCAACATCTTCTTGGTACCCAAGAAAGGTGATGGTATAGGACCAGTAACCAATCTTCGACCCTTCAATGCCTTTGTCACGTACCATCACTTCAAGATGGAAGGGATACATTGCCTTCGGGACCTCCTCAGACTGGGAGATTGGATGGTCAAACTCAATCTCCAGGACGCGTACCTCACGATTCCGATCGCCAAAGAGTGTCAACACCTCCTTCAGTTCCAATGGAAAAAGACTATGTGGCGCTTCCAATGCCTCCCGTTCGGCCCATCCTTGGCCCTGTGGTGTTTCACCAAGCTGCTGAAACCAGTGGTCGCCCTTCTACGCAGCAGAGTAGTTCGTATGATCATATATCCCGACGACATGCTTATCATGGCCCACGATGCCCAACTGGTGAGTCAATATCTCTCCTGGGCGCTGTCCCTCCTTCATAATCTAGGTTTCTTAATCAATTGGGACAAGTCAATCCTGCATCCTTCCCACGCCATGGAGTTTTTAGGATTCAACATAGATGCGATTCACGGGACACTCAGTTTACCAACCACAAAAGTGAAACTCATCAAGAAGGAAATTCGTCAGACGTTGGCACGACCGGTCTTGACTTTGCGACAACTTGCGAGGATAATCGGCCTTCTCTCAGCCTCCATACAAGCAATTTTTCAAGGGTCTCTCCACTACAGGGCCCTACAATAGCTCAAGGCCGCGCACCTAAGCTTGGGTCAGTCTTATTTGGTTCTGTTCCACTCGATTGCACGGCAAAAGAAGAACTCGCCTGGTGGCTTCAACACATGGAACGGCAGGGCAGTCTTCGGAACCACCGCGGATTTCATCATAGAATCCGACGCGAGCAGGCTCGGCTGAGGTGCGCGTTGTGGTCCCACCTCTACAGGGGGAAAATGGTCCTCACAGGAAAAGGAGCTCCACATCAATGGTCTGGAACTGCTGGCGGGGTCTTCGCCCTTTGGAGTCTCCTCGGGGGCACAACCAATTGTTCCATCCTACTTCGCATGGACAATATCTCGGCAGTCCGCTACATCAACCATCTGGTTGGCACGATACTAACGAACCTAGTGAAAGAGTATTGGCACTTCTTCCTGATCGCAACATATCTGTACAAGCGGAATACTTTTCAGGTTTATCCAACATCGTAGCAGATTGGAATTCCAGATATCTGCACGACAACAGCGCCTGGCGACTGAACTGCACAATATTCCTGTGGCTCCAACAACTCTGGGGCCCCATGCATATCGACCCTTTTTGCCTCCCAGTTGAATTCTCAACTCCCGTCATTCTTTAGCTGGATAAACCCAGACGCCGTAGCGGTGGATGCCTTTCCTCCAACCTTGGCTGAAAAAACGACTCTGTGCATTTCCTCCCTTCTATCTACTGGCTCGGACCCTACTACATCTAAAACGATCCCAAGCGTCACTGGTCCTGATAGCGCTGTTCTGGACGGCACATCCTTGGCTCCCCTCGCTCATGAAAATGTCTATCGACCTTCCCGACTAATCCCTGGATCCATGAACCTACTATCGGATCCCGATGGGAACTCTCACCCCCTTCTGGTTCAGGGGTGTAACGGCACCCCCAGGCATAAAAGGGTTAAATAGCCATTTAGAAGATCTTCCCCTTCCAGAGACACAGGCACAGCTACCGCAGAACCCCACACTCCCGAACAGGATACAAAGTAGCCCTCCAAACTCCCGAACTGGAACCTCAAGAATAGCTGCTAGCAGCTGAACAGGAAAAGCACCCAAGCGGCTTACACTCCTGGCAATCAGTCTCTAACAGCATACAGTAAATCCCCCCCAAGAACGAGACAAGGCTCCGTTTTGAGGGTCAAGCAGGAACAGACAGAGCTGTGGGTTTATTGTTCTTATATACACATTCTTACACATTAGTACCACCCACAGGGTTTTGTAAAACAACCAATAAACATGTACAATACACTACAATACAATCCCATACAAAATCCTCCCCTCTGCCTGTGATACAATTACCTTACACAATGGGTTAATGTAATTATCACAGGCAGAGGAATACAGTTTTTCCACATTATTCATAACTTTAAAAGTATACATCACATTCACATAAAACTTACATTTTCAGAATCAGCATACTCCAAATACAAATGACATATGTCAAAATCATCCAAATTGGTCCAGTGGTTCAAAAGATAGATCAAAGTCCTTTGTGACCAAATGAAGCATGGCTTTTCTGCCCAAAACCAGTTCCACAGAGTCTTCTATCCTGGAGATAATTGGGAAGGGGCATCTCAGACTTCTGGCGTGGCTCCTCTCCGGGAACCTTGGGTTGTGCTGAACATTTCACAAGCAACTCTTGCCTTATTGGCAGGAGCTTGGTCTCCATGAACAAGACGATCCTATACTCATGCCTGGAGCACATGGAGTGGTTGGTACATGGAACAACACGTGGATCCCATACGTGCTTCTGTAAACCACATCTTGAGTTTCCTTACCTCCCTGTATAATCAAGGTTTGGCCTACCACACAATAAACATATATAGATCGACAATTTCAGCTGGTCACAACAGAATGGATGGTTTCCCGGCTGGGAAACACTTGTTGGTCTGTCGCCTTCTGCAAGGCATTAGATTTGCTCGTCTACCCCCACCCGCTCTGTGGGACGTCAACCTAGTTCTTCATCTGTTGGAGGATTGGCCTACGAACCCGGACCTTATGCTCAAACAAGTGTCTGCAAAATTGGCCATGCTCTTGTGTTTGATTTCCTGCAAAAGGGTGTCGGATGTCCAAGCTCTGGATATCGACGCACGTTCTTTCACTCCGAACTGTGTTTTGTTTAATATCACCAGACGTACGAAATTGAAAATTACTTCAGTCTTCTACCCCTCTTTTCCTCATAATGTTAATCTCTGCCCGGTGGCATGCCTCCAGGAGTATGAACTACGGACTCAGTCATTCAGGAACCCAATACACCACGACTTGTTCCTGGCTGTGAAACAACCTCATCACCCAGTATCCACGGTGACTTTGGCCCGCTGGGTGAAATGGATAATGTCGTCTGCTAACACTGACACATCAGTTTATGAGCTCATTCTACTAGATGCACTGCGGCTTCAAAAGCATTCACGTTTAAAGATGACTATTTTGGTCCAGCAGAACACATCTCTTCTATGGTTATTTCACAGCTTTAAACTAGCCTAATATGAGCCTCCTTGTCCTCTAATAAAATTACCAGATTTTACTAATTACATTACGTAAAGTCATGATTTTATTAACACGGAGGCGAGTATTAGCCCACCCAGAAGACAGGTAAGTCTTACATTTTGTCTTCCCACCTAATTTTTTTACGTCATGCATGGTTTTGACTTGACTTTAGTTTGGGTTACCGAATACTTAAAATAATTTTGTCTTTTGCTGGACTCACAGTGACATGTTCAGTTTTATATGTTTTAACTGTCACGGATAGAAATGTACGACATCAGTATTTGAACATATTTTACTACCTGTTTCTCTGTCTCTTACAGCTTGAGACTTTACAATGGGTTAATCGGGACCAGTTTTCTTCACATTATTTCAGTGGAGGTGCTCTCTAGGATCCACTACCATCGGATTATTTCTACGAATATTTCAGATGGACTCTTGGTTATGTCGATTCAGTTGTTTTATGTCGGTTGTTTATTGTTGAATTTTCAGCTTCGGCATCACCAAGAAAGAGGAGTGGCTTAGGGTCACATGGAAGTATATGGAATGAGGATTGCTACCATTGGTTGAATATGTTATATGGTTAACCATTTAAGGGTATTTGTTTTTGTTTTCTATTAATATCTCAATATTCTTTCTTTGCTGCTGAGGAATAAAGAAAGAGATAAAGCCTAATACTCGCCTCCGTGTCCTTAATAAAATCATGACTTTACGTCATGTAATTAGTAAAATCTGGTAATTGGCTGAGAGTGTCAGCTAACCGCTCATAATCAGCTGCGCCCCTGCCCGTTGGCACTCTGCTCTTTCTGAAACTGAAAGTTTAGAAGCCGGATGCCACCAGGCAAGGCCGGTGCAAGGATTCCTCCAGCCTAGGCAAAGATCAATTTTGCCGCCCCTCCATGAATACAATAACATTATCTCAGAGGTTTATTCACTAAACTCTGAATTGCATTGAGTTGAAAACCAAATTGCAAAGTTTATGCAAAAACATCTGAGCTGTGACTGTAGCTGAGTTGGAGAATTCTTCTAGATCAGCCATTTGGCCTAAATATTGCCATTTTTTTTCCAGTTAGGTCTGATCACAGTGCTCATTCATCGCATAACAATCTGTGTATTCTCTCTCACCAGCATTTATCCCCATCTTTCTCCTGTTTCTTTATTCCAAAGTTTGCAGCCTCTGTGTTCATAATTTCTCTGCTCACTCTCTGCCACTGATTCTCTCCAGCCCATCTTTTTTTAATTCTTTTTAGGGTTATTCACTAAAGTTAAAACCTTACATGTGAAATTAACTTTTAATTAATTTTGAATCCAACAATTCTTACTTTAGTGAATAATCCGGTCATTGACTTTTGTCACTTTCTTTTCTTTTCCCTTTCTATTCATCAAACAGTGAGCTGAAATATAACTTGCAACATTTAGGCAAAAACAGAAGAGTTATATAAACTCCTGTGACCACCTCCTGACCGCTTCTCGCACCCGTACAGCCAACTCACGCTTGCAGGACCTCTCGCGGGTGGCTCCTTTCCTATGGAATAGCCTGCCTACCGCCATCAGACTTTCCCCTAGTCTTCAATCGTTTAAAAAGAGCCTTAAAACCCATCACTTCAGGAAAGCTTATGGCCTCTCAGACTAACCTCCACCTTACATACTTGTTTCTTGCTCTCTCCTATAGGGCAGCACTCTACCCTCTCCTCGAGCTCTGCTTCACTCCCACCCTATTTGATATTTCCTGTCCTAACGTGTCTTATACCCCACCTCCTATAGACTGTAAGCTCGTTTGAGCAGGGTCCTCTTCAACCTATCGTTCCTGTAAGTTTTCTTGTAATTGTCCTATTTATAGTTAAATCCCCCCTCTCATAATATTGTAAAGCACTACAGAATCTGTTGGCGCTATATAAATGGCAATAATAATAATAAAGTCACTATCTCAACTCTTTTTCAAAACGTTTTTAAATCACTGTTTTTTTAAGAGAGACAGGCCAAGACATTTAGAGAAAAAATAAAGACTGAAGAGATGTTTAGGGAAACAAGACGAACCTAAGAGACATTTATGGAAAGCAGAGACACAGGTGAGGAAGTTAGGGAAAGGGAACAGATCGGGAAGGCAATTAGGGAAAAGACTGAGAGATTGTTGAGGTATTTAGGAAACAGAGACTGACTGGGAGACAAGACGGTGAGCAGACATACACATTGCCCAATACATCCATACATACACACATACACATACACACAATTCCGATACATCCATCTATACACACACTCTGCCAATACATCCATCCATACACACTGCTCAATACATAAATCTATACACACACACACACTGCCCATACATCCATCTATACACACTGCTCAATACATAAATCCATACACACACACACATACATTGCACACTACATGCATCCATACACACCTACTGCCTAATGCATACATCCATACACACAAACTGCCTAATACATTTTACATTGAATACATCATTTATCGCTGTGGGATTTAATTTACTTGATAATGATGATGGGGTTTAATTTATGTTGCAGTGAACTTGTCTGACAGGTTCACTGTAATTAAAACTTTTTTCATTATAATATATAATTATATTAATATGCATTATAAATCTAATCCACCACATACCCATGAGCACATGCACACTCTCACTGACATACACACACAATGTCACTTACACACTCTCACTGACATACACATAATGTCACTTACACACTCTGACACACATACACATGTCACTTGTACACTCACTGACACACAGAATGTCACTTACACACTCTTCAGGGCCGGACTGGCCCACCGGGATACCGGGAAATATCCTGGTGGGCCGTCGGCACCTGGGGCCGGGCAGACAGCCGGCTCACCTGCGGCCGCAGAGGGAGCTCCCTTGGCGGCCGCAGGGGGAGCTGGCTGTACTGCCTCTGCTCCCCCTCCCCAGCGCGCTAGAAAGAGACCGGGCCCGGAAGATGACGTCATATTCCGGCCCCGGTTTCAGTAAGCAGTGCACTGGGGAGGGGGAGCAGAGGCAGAACAGCCAGCTCCCCCTGCGGCCGCCAAGGGAGCTCCCCACAGCCCCAGGTAGACATTGTGTGTGTCAGTGTGAGTGTATGTGTGTGTGTGTGTCTGTGTCATGGTGTGTCTGTCTGTTTCATTGTGTGTGTCTGTGTGTCTCTGTCTGTCATGGTGTGTGCGTCTGTGTCATGGTGTGTGTCTGTGTGTCTCTGTCTGTCATGGTGTGTGCATCTGTGTCATGGTGTGTGTGTGTCTGTCTGTGTCATGCA